GTTTGGAAAGCTGAGAGGTGACGAGCAAGGAGAGGAAGTTCATGTAAATGCAGACCTGTTCCCATGCCAGCTCTTGCATGTGGTCACCCCTGGTACCCATGGCCCTCCTTGTAAGCAGCAGGAGTGCTGGTGGTGTGCGGGGAAACAAAATCTTTCATTACCTCCAGCAAAAGCTGTTCTCCATCACAGCCCGTTTTCCAGGCAGTGTGCAGCTGTGGTTGAAATTTTTTTTGAATGAAAACATATTGTAAAAGTGAAAGGTTGTGTTTCAGTTTGGGTTTTGTTTTGCTTCTGATTTTTTTTTTTTTTTTCCACGTTCAACCTTAGGTTAATGCATGCAGATAATGCATGTAATTAAATACTGTGTTCTCATGGCTTGGCATTTAGTGAATGAAATGTTTTGACGTCGGCTTAAAGCATTCCAACCGGAGTTTCTGAGGCTTCCAACTGAAAATATACATCAGAATCTTTCTCCTGTAAAATCTCCCCGACTTCTGAATGAGTTTTTCCTGTTTGTGTCAGACGAACCCCCCCAGGTTCAGCAGCGCATTTCCTCCAGTGCTGTGGTCTGTGTGTACACCTTGTGTTCGGGTTTGGGGGTGATATTCTGCCCTGCTGCTGTCACCCCCGAGGTGCAGCTCTCGGGATGGGCAGCCTGGTGCTGCGCTCTTTGGGTGCTGCTGTGCCCTGGTTGCTCCCCTGGTTTGGTCCCCTGCTCAGAGCTCTGTTGCTGATGGGGTGGCAGGTTGTGTGACCATGATTTCTGCCAGGTCTGTTCTCTGATTTCTTGCCAGACAGGGAACTAACAGGAGTAACTGCGGGCTGCCAGCTCCTCTCAGAGTGAAATAAAGCAGCATGTTTTTGTGTGCGTCTCTGGTCGACTGCAGGCTACCAGTTTCCTCTCTGCCAGCCCTGGGCTCTGCCATCCCCTTTGTGCACGCCTGGAAGTAAATGGAGCAGGGCTGGGGGGAGCAGCTGGCAGTGGGGGAGGAGTGCCCCAGATGTTGGGGGTTTCGAGTGGGCAGAGGTGAAGTGTGGGCACGGCAGTGTCCAGGAAAGCTTTATTTCATCCCTCCTGCCCAGGGCAGGGGTTGGATGAGGCAATCTTCAGGGATCCTTTCCAGCCTAAGCATTCTATGACTGTCAGCCTTCCCTTAGGCTCCCAGCTGCACTCCTCCAGGACTCGTGGGGCCAATGCACCTGGAATGCACTTGGTGCGGTCTTAAGAAGGATGTGGATGGCAGGGGCTGCTGTGCCCTGAGATGCAGGAAGGAGGCTGTCTGCAGGGTGCGGATAGCAGCTGCGCTGCGCCCGAAGGACGTGCTCTGGAAAACACCTTAAGCTCCCATGGCTGAAATAGGAGAAAAGCCTCTAGGAACACATTTGGCAACATCCACGTTTTGTGTCTTTGAGAAGCAGTCAGCATTCATCCACTGCCCTGGCTCATCAGGTGGCTCCAAAGGGTTATTTCTGATTGCCTGCCCACAGGGACAGAGCTGTGCCACCTCCTCTGCTCAGCCCATTTCTGCTTCCAAGCACGGAGGCTGCAGAGCACGGAGCAGAGCTGGGGCAGCAGTGGGATGAGTTGGGAGAGGATTAATGAGGGCGGCATGAGCGTGATGCTCGCCACGGGCGGCTGGGACGCGCTGCATGGATCAGACTGCTGACAGGGCAGGGATGGGCTGAATCTCACCCTGCCAGGCTGCTCTTGGTGGAACCCTTCTGACTGAAACGCTGTGGAGATCTCAGGTAGGGCCCGCATGGGGGGGTGATCTAAGATGTCTGATCTGTTTTCAAACTGTAGAGGTGGGAGTTGAAACGCATTCTGCTTCTGCCTATTGCAGTGATAGGGGATTGAAGGCTGGTGCCTCCAGATATGGTGCAATGCAAATGAGCTCTTGCTGCTTTGATCTCTTTATCTTCCCTTTCTCTTTTTCTCCACCAAGAATACCTTTAGCATGGTTTTCAACCTGCAGGCTTTTAGCAAAAAAATTCAGCTGGCTCGATGGCTTCCAGTCCCATTCATTCTGCAGCCTCAGCTTTACCCAAAGCAGCGCAGGCATTTTGTGGTGGCCTCGGAGATCTCAAGATACTGAGGAAAGGAGATAACAGGAACCTTTATGAATCACTCTTGTACAATCTGAAGAATTTATAAAAACCATCATTTATTGCCGTTGGGCTCCTTTATTAAAGGTGGTTTATTTGTGCATCTTTTTTTCACTGGATGCTAAAGAGAGTGGCCAGAAGATTGGTGGAGATATCGCTCATCTCCAGGAGATTTCTGCAAGACAGCAGCGCTCCGTGCCTTGCAAGAGCAGGTCCAGCGATAGATCCTTCAGGGATAAGCATGGGAATTTTGGTCTGGTTTTACAGCTCCCACAGAAATCAGACTGCAGGACCAAAACTGGGAGGCTTTAATGTGTTTCTGTGTAATCAATTAATCAAGAGAATACCAGCTTGTTGGCTTCTCCCCACAGCCATCTTAAAGGTTTCTGCTCAGATGCCTGGGTGAAAGGAATCTCTGTTTGATGGTCGGGGAACTCGAGTTCCAACACTGACTGGACCTGGGGTTGAGTCCGTGCTGGGAAACGTCCCACCGAAATCCTGAGCTTCCTGAAAAAGGGAAAGGTATGGACAGAGTGGATTGATTTTTAGTGCTTGAGGAGATGGTCGCTATTTGGGATTCTTAACAGCTTCCAGAAGGCTCAAACCTGAGGATTGCAGTCATCGCGTTCTTTGGGGTCGCTTTGCTCCCTTACAGAAGTGGATCAAAGTCTGTTTCCCCGAATACTGGGAGTGCTGCCCCGTGGTTTGGGCAGTGTCCTCCCGGCATCCCACCTGCCTCCGTGATTGTGCCTCAGGTGAATTGCTTTGCTCTTTAAATCTCGTTATCATTCCTGAACTAAAAGGCTGCAGTGCCCATCTCGAGGCTCTTGCAGAGGCCATGGTGAGCAGATACTGGAGAACCCGGCGCGTGCTGTGTGTCACGTCATTCTCTTTGGTAAAGATCAGCTCATCAGTGAATGCTCAAAGGTTGCTCATGAAAGAAGGTGACATCAAAGCAAATAATTTAAGGAACCCCTGGAGGGCCAGAGGAGTTGTAAGGTCTGAGGCTGAATCACATGGGCTCAGTTTCCATGAACTGTGTCTCAGTTTTCCTGCAGGTACAAGTTAGAAATGCGTCTGATAAATGTTTAGGATGAGCTGGGGAAGGAGCGGGGGACGGTTTTAAATCACACTAATTACAGCCATGATGGCTTTGGTTCAGCGCCATTGGGAAGCACAGGTAACCTGAGCGCCTGGTGCTGGAGGCCTTCAAAGACGTCGCCCTGTGGGTGGGTGAAGGTGATGCAGAGCCGCATTTTGGTTCTGGGAGCTCGTGTTGCTTCTCTGACAGCGTTTCAGACTGCTGCCACATAACGTGGTTGGACTGCAGGAGTCCTGCTTTGATCTTGTAGCTTGTGGAGAGGGCAAAGAGGAGGTGGTTGGGGAAAGAGGAGCAGGAGAGCTCTGGGATGGGATGGTAGGGCATGTCCCACTGCACCAGAGCAGCGTGGCCTCCTGGACCCAAAGGCAAGCAGCTGGGCAGGCTGCTGAACCCAATATTTGTTTGACTTCAGTAGATGCTGAAGATTTAAACGAGAGAGCTATTTCGGAAAGACAAAATCACTGGAGGACCAGAGAAGCAGCAGGAGAGCCTGTGATCCATGGATCCCAAAACCCTGCGTGGATGTGCCTGAAAAAGTAATCCCGAGGAGGGTTCGGATGCAATGGCATCCTTTCAAAATGAGCCGAACGTGGCTGACTGGAGCAGCCATCCCCCAACACCTGCACAGATGGATGGCCCTTTCCACCCAGACAGAAGCACTGCCGTGCTTACGTGTGCTGGGTTGTGTGTAACGCAAGAAACGTTACTAAGAGGAGAAGCACGAGCTTGGGAAAACAAGCAACAAGTCAACAACATCCTGATATGAGCAATAAGGCAAACACTCCAACAACGCTTCGGGCAGGAATGCTGTGTCTTCACACGAGGGTGGGTGACCTGTGGAGAAAAATGTGTTGAGATTGAGTCCTGCAGGAGAACTGTGGATGAACAAACAGCATCCAAACCCCCGCAGCAGCAGAGATTTATTTATTTGTAAAAAATGAGCCTAAATCTTCCCTGTGCCTTGAAAATCTGTCCTCTTCTTTCTGCCCTAAGAGGTGATGGGGGAGGGCCCCTTCTCTTTGGCCTGAACACAGATGGGAGCCCTGGGGAGGCAAGGCAAGGGGAGCAGAGTGATGGGTAGGGTAATTTCTCCTCTGATGTCTGGATGACTGCTTGAGGAAGCAGCGTGCTTTCCTCCTCCTGGGGTTATGTGTGTATAGACTGAGGTGGAGGAGGGAAGGAGTCAGAATAGGTGCTTTTATATGAGATTGGAGAAGTGCCTTCTGCAGGGAGCAAGCAGTGCTGCCCGCATTGCCAGCAGAAGGCAGCTTGAGGAGCAGGCTGCAGAATTTCCAGGAGATGTTGAATGTTTCAGGTCTGTGTTTTGTTTCATAGCCTTTCATTTCGTGTTTTTTTTTTGGTTTTTTTTTTTTTGGTTTTATTATTTTTGCATTGTTTCACAACATGTCAAAACATCAGGCTGATTCATTACAGTGTAAACACGATGCACTTTGATGCAGGGAAAAAAGATGTTTTAATGGGTGCTAAGTAGCAACTGCCCTTAGGGATTTAAAAATAAAAATAGCAGCAGCACAAACTAATATTTTAACCCTTGTGTTACACCACGGGATCATCCAAATACGGAGCATGGAGTGGCACACAGAACAATGCGAACAGGAATACAGTGTGCTGCTCTCCATCCCTTTGCAGCACCGAGCTGTCAGCTCTGAGATGAGCTGCGCAGGGTTTTCCCTCACTGAAGTGCTTTCTGTCTCAGTGGAGAAGCAGAGCACACGGAGTCATGTGTGCACACTGCAATGGGACTCACCTGAGAATGTCTTCTTCCCCACAGGGATCTGAGCATGAACAACATCAGCCAGCTGCAGCCCAGAGCCTTCGGCCGCCTGCAATTCCTGGAGGAGCTGTGAGTACCCAGTAGGGGGGTGCTGGGCTGGGGCTGCGTGCTTCTGAGGTGGGCTGGGCTCTGATGGGCGCTGTGTGCAGTGCAGGGGTTAATTGCTGCTGCAGGGTTGGGGCAGGATGCACCTTCAGGCTACGCTGCGTGTGCCAAACACCAGAATTTAAGAATCAGCCCATCATGCAAAAGTGAGCCCAGAGCAGAGCCAGAAAACGGGGAGCTTCGTTCTCCGTCCGCACGCAGCTCCCCTGCAGCCAAAGCCACGAGAACTGCTGGGCGCGCGGCGGCTGGGCAGCGGTGGGGCTGCGGCCCCGCAGATCACAGCAGGGACGGCCGTCCTGCAGCGCAGCGCTGTGCTCAGGCACAGCTCCGTCCCGGTCTGCAGGGATCAGCACGAGGCTGTGTGTCAGCAGAGGAGTGGCCACACTTCTGAAAGTGTGAAATTAACCACCAGCATGAGCAACCACAGCGTCCCTTGGGGGCCCGGCAGTCAGAGCCTGGAAGGGGGCAGAAGACTGAGGCCGGCCTTGTATGGTTGTGTTCCACTTGACCATGAGAAATCCCTCCGGGTGCTGTTCTCATGCTTTTGCTCCTTTCTATGCAATGCCTTCTGCTGAAAAATGCAGTTTCTTCAAAACACCATTATTCCATAGCAAGAAACACTGATACTATTGTTGTATATGAGGTACGTGATGTAAACTTGTGGTGCATGTAGCACTTAAAACAGTGTCTAAATGGAGCACTTTGACTACACCGAATCCCCTCTCACAGCCAACGCTGCAGATGACAGGTATTTCTGAAAAGGGCAGGTTTCTAAAGGTTGGATTCCTTACCAGTAAGGTCAGTGTGATGCTGAGGCATTCGTGTATAGCAGAGGGGCAGTAAGTGCTGCCATCCCATGCTCTGCCACCTGTGCTTGTGTTCATGAAGCAGTGACCTCCAAATCATCAGTGCTGTGTAATGAACAGCAGCTTCTGTGAGCAGAAGGCTTTCCCTGTGCTCACTGGTGCTGATTTGTGGCTGCACGTTTGCAGGTGGACTCCTTGGAACAGTCGATGTTGACCAAAAAGCCCAGAGGAGATTCCGACACCCACTGTTCCCATAACAGCCCCGATCTCACAGTGATCAAATTGCAATACTTTTATTTTCAAATGGTCTTCAAACCCATCTTCTTCATCTCTCTGTCTCTTGCATTAATTATGCTTGCAGGGACTCCCAAACTCCCCATTTCCGAGCTGGGCAGGACTCCTTTTTTTCGCCCTCCTGCAGCTCTGCTCTCGTGCTGCCCTCAGGAGATGCGTTTTCCAAGGTCTTGCCTCCGTCTTGCAGCCATTCTCTTCCCATTTTGTCAAGCACCCAAAGCACTCACAGGTCCTCACACACAGGCCGTGCTCTTTCGTATACAATTAATGGCTGTCTTGCTGCAAGCAGTCGTGTCCTGATGACACGTCGTGCACAAACAGAACAGTCTAAACCAGCAATGAATAAATATTCATAGATACCAATGGAGCCAGCTTCCCACAGCCAAAAATAATTATGAATGACACAAATCAAGAGGGAAAATTAAACAGGAAAATTTGAAAAATAACTGGAAGTTGTTAAAGAACATTTCACTGGAGTTTCCAAACGCCACAGCTGCTCATTGGGAAGGTAGAGGTGTTTTGAGTAGGAAAAAATCACCGCCATAAGGAGAAATGGAAACTGTGGCGTTTTGGATCTGCACACATCCAAGTTCACACTTCAGTCATACGGTAAAACACAGAAGTCATAGTTATGGACATCAAGCGGTGGATTTGAAATCAATGAAGTGAGGAAAGATTGTCGTATAATAGGAAGAACTGAAAGTGACCCTTCCAACAACAGCACCTGGGCAGCAGCGGTGTGCGTGTTGTTCATAGGGATGTCAGGGCCAGCACTGCAGCTTAGCTGGCTTCTCCCTTCAGCTTTCACTTTCCTGTAATCCTCAGAGGCATCTCGAAGTCTCTTTGCCATTCCTGGCCTTGAACACATACAGAATCACATCGTCCTGGGAGCGATGGTGGAGCAGAACGAAATTCCAGCCTCAGCCTCCTGTTAGACCGTGCTGACTGGGGTCTGATACGCGATGGCACCCAAAGGAGGGAAACGGGGAAGGGTGTGAGGGTGAGGTGTGGGGAGCAGCTGAGCCAGGAGCTGCACTCGATGCTCCTCACGGTCCTTCCTGGCTCAGGATGTCCTTTGGCTCAGGCCATGTTGGGGCAGTCAGTGCTGCGGGTGAGGGGCAGCAGGTGACGCGCTGGGAAGGAAAGCTGCCCAGAGGAGCAGATGGGCTGCGTGCTCCCATTGCTGTAGAGGACAAACGCTCTGATAAGCGTCCACCACATCCACCTCCACCTCAGCAGGGACGGAGCAGAGGCCCATAGGGATGCATGGGCTCTTCCCTGCAATCCTCCCCTCTGCAGCAGGTCTCTGGAGGCAGAGAGGTGCTTCGATGTGGGCCTCACACAGACAGGAGCTGCCCTGAGTTTTCTACATCTCCTTTTTTTTTCTTCTTTTTTTCCCCCCTTTTCTTTCTTTCTGGCAGTGGGAAGGACGTTTAAAGTTGCTAATAAATTCCAGTTAATGAAGCCTGAAAAGCCAGAGCTGCGTGCCAAGAGAAACAAGAGCAATCAGTAGAGAAGGAATAGAAAGAGGATCTTGAAAGCTGGCCTGGGAATAACAACATGTTGAAATGTGTTCACCGGCAAGGGCTTTGTTACCATGCTTTGAATCCAAACACGAGAGCTCGGTGCCAAGAGGAGAAACTGCAGCCAAAGGCAGGTGTTCATTGCCATTCACCTCCTGCTGCGGGGCACAGCGGCAAGATCAGACCCCTTCCCAGCCACTGGCTCTTTCACCTGCCTCTTCTTGGGCCCCGAGGGCCGAGGGACTCAGTATCCAGGGGAGTGCCACGCCGTGCATTGATCCAGGAGCAGCGCCGTGCTGTGCGCTGATCCGGGAGCAGCAGGAGCTGTGCTCTCCCCTTCCAGGCAGCACGGAGCACCGCAGGTCCTCTCAACGTTTTCCCCAGGACGCTGCCAGGCTCCTGTGCCTGCAGCAGCAGGATGCTGCGACTGAGCCCCGTGCTGGGCTCCTCTGCGGCCCATTGGAGACAAGGCTCCCAGCCCTGGTGCATCCAGGACTTCATGTTCTCCTGGTTGACGCTGCTCCGTGGCAGAGCACAGCACTGATCATCAGTGCGGCGGGTGAGCAGCAGCATGGAGAGGATTAAAGGGTCATTCCTCCTATGAAGCATTCCCAAAGTCACTGCTGTGCAATCCGCGTGGTGTGGAGGCAGATGCTGGCGAAGATGCAGGTGAAGACAGGAGAATAGGACTTCCAAGGGGTTCTCCATGGTGCACATTGAAAAACGTTACTGAGGAGCACTGAAATTTCTGTTCTTTTCTCCTCCGTTTGTGCTGGGGACGGAATTCAGCATTTGAAAAATCCTTGCGAGGGAGAATCTCTGCCCCTCGTGCTCCTTAAGTGGTCCTCAAACAACTGCCAGAGGGGATCCCAAGTGGGGCACAGAGATTGGAGTCAAAATTCTAAACTAAAGGTTTGAAGGGAGTAAATCCCCTCCGAAAACCTTGACGTAAGGGGACAAAATGAAGGTAGTCTGTGTCCTGTATTGGGTTGTTCCATAAGGAGCTGTCTTACTAAATCTTCCTTGGCAAATGAATCCAAACTAGCTTGCATACGAACATTCGTGTGGGTTGAAAACTGGCTGCAGGACCATAAACAAAAGAAACGAATGCCATCAATCTATCGAGTTGGAACAGGCATTTGGTGGGGGCACGGGGAGCTGGGTTAGAAACAGGCCTGAGTCTCCTCCTCAGGGATGGAGTAAGCAGTAAGACCATGTTGGAGACACCTCCAGGTGATACCGCAGCAGGACCAGCTGCAGATTCCTGTGTGGGAAGGGAGAGTCCAAGCCTGACTCTTTCCTCAAATGTACCATGTTTTCACTTGCATGACTTAATTGGCTTAATTCCTGCTTTGCACCAGCATGAGAACAAAGTCGAGCATAGCATGGAGCCCTTGGTCCCCCATGCACCTGGCAGATGGCACGATCTTGACACGACGACACCGTTTAGACAGGAGTGCAGAGAGTTTATCTGGGAAGAGATTCTGCCTTGACAATATTAGAGCTTGAGAAATGAACCCGAGCGGGAGATCAAAGAGGAAGGCTGACAGGAACGGTAATGATCTGGCAAGGGGAAAATTCCACTGGGATGTGGACATGTGTGTGCATCCTGTCCTGCCAATGGGCAACGTTCCTGCCTCCTAATGTGAACGATAAGGGCATCGTCATGTTGTCTGAGCGCGTGACATGAGCCATCATGCCCAACAAACAGCCTTTGGGCGTGCCATGAAGTTGTAGCATGACCAAGAAGCCCGAGATGCAGGAGGGGGTGGGAGCCTGTGGTAACTGAACTACAGCAACCGTGAAGAGGTAAACCATGAGTTTGTTCCAACTTGGAGTGTATTGGGAATGCAGATCAAAGCCTGGAGGAATGTTCCCAGAAATCACTGGAGGGGGGAAAGGAGGGGAACAGAATCTAAAATCCACCAAACACGCAAGCTTTCCAAAGACAGCCAGCCAACTCTGGCTCCCGCTCACCTTCCACTTGCCCCTTCTCTCCCTCTTCCATCAGTCATTGTAAATGCACTTTTCCCTTCCTGCCAATCCATCTCACTTTAAAAGCTCCGGGACAGAAGGACATGCAGATGAATCAGGACTGCCTATCCTAAAGAGAGACCTGAGCAGGCTTGGAGCTGTGCTGTGGGTCAGATGTCCGTGGCCACAACAGCAGCCCCCCTTCCCCTGTGCCTGGGGCACAAAGGAGCGCTGCCTCTTGATTCTTTCTTGCAGAGTTTTTTGCTTTGGGCCTCAGAAGCAAATGAAGAGCTGTCTCAAGGGAAGTCACACTGGCAGCATCACTTTGAATGTTATTGTTCCCTTTTAAACAGGAAGGAAATTATCATTTCAGTGAATTTCCTATTGAATTTTGCCTGGAGATGTGTTCAGTGGGTGCCTCCCTGCCAGGCTGGGAGATTTGTGGGCAGTCAGAGAGTGAGAGGGATGGAAGGAACCAAGCAGCAGGGAGACTGCCAGGTGACAGCGAACTGCTGGACAGGATGCCCCAAAAGACCTGAAACACATTCCTGGCCTACGTTCAGAGGAATGGCACAGGAATGGCACAGCTCCCTTGCCTGGGACACCTGGGTGCCTGGTGTTGGGAAGAAGGCAAAAGTAGAGGAGAGAAGATCTGGAAGATGGAGGTGAGCTGGGAAACGGCACAGTCCCCATGGGGCAGAGCCAAGGACAGGCAGCAGCAGCAGGGACACGGCTGCCTTTCCTGAACCTGGGAATGCTCTGCCCGCCACCCCCCCACACCCCCTCAGTTCTGTTTTATTGCGGTACTGTGATGCTGCAAGCTGACCTAGCACGTGTCCCTGCCACCCCGCTCCAAGCCAAGAGTCACAAGCTCCCGTCCTGCCAGTCCTGGAGGTCCCAGCTCCATTCAGGGATACAGCAAGCAGGAGCGAGTCCTGCAACCACCTGACCGTACCCAGGGACATCAATGCGAGGGCGCAGAGCAGCCAGAAACAAGTGAGGAGGCGCACGGTGACCCCGGAGTGCTGCAGCAGGGCAGACAGGAGCTCCAAGGACAGACAGACCGCGGAGCGGAGCTGGGACAGCCGGCTGGAGCGGCTGAGGATCCGTGCGGGATCCTCCCTCCTCCCGGACAGCCCTCCCTCCCGTGTGGAAATCAGCAATCAAAGAAGCAATTACCCCAAATCGCAGCCCCCAAGTGACAAATAGCCCAGCCTGCCAGGCAGCTTGCACGCTGCAAGGAGGCAGGTTACGACCTGCTCACACACATTAAAGGGACGACCCTGCGCTGTTTATGCTGTCAGAGGCCCTAATTACGGCAGTAATTTTCTCTGGATTCCCGAAGGGAGAGACGGGGAAGGAGGGAGCCTGGGCACCCAGCGAGCTGCTCTGCCACGGGGAGCCTGCAAAGGCTCGGAGCCTCTGCATGACCTCTGCAGTCCTCACTGCAACGTGCTCTGCTTCCAGCCCGGATTATGCTGCTCATCCCCTGCACTTGTCTTCTTCACAGCCAAAACATCTGAAAGGAAACAGGCTTTGTCAATGTTGCATGAATAATACAGCTTGTTTCCTCGTATCTGTGCCAGCCTCCTGGGTCTGCTTTGGAGTTTCTGAGAGGCTGAAGGTTCTCCTGATCACAAATGATATTCACTGTCTCATGTGGGGGTGCAATATTCCAGTTCAAATCAGGTGGACGGCAGCAAGTTCCTTACCGTGTGAATGTGGGAAGCCCAACCTCGACACCTGTCTGAGCACAGGAGGATCAGAAAGTAAAGCACAAACACCAGAATAATCTGGGATTAAGAATCAGGTCACTGAGCCAGTTTCACATCTGAACTCTGTCCCCGCTCTTTGTGCCGTCAGCCTGGGGGTCCTGCTCTCATTTGTGAGGCTGCTTTGCGCTCTCTCTGCCCCTCCCGCCCCTTCACATCAGTCTCTTCCCCAGGCCACGCTGCCCCTATCCTTGCCTTCATTCCAGAGCCCCTTTTCCTTTTCCGTCCTGGTTTTGGGAACAGGCAATATGGAGGGGTCACACACCAGGTGTGCAGCACAGCTTGCAGGTGTTGCTGCGTTCTCCCCAGCAGGGCTGCATCAAGAGGCATCAGTTGTGAAGTGTCTGCAGACAAAGGGCTGTCATTACAAGGATGCTGATGCATTACTGGCTCTTCTTTTCACTGCAGACGCCTCTCTGGAAACCAGATCTCCAGTATCCCAGGGGAAGCTTTCTCTGGCCTCTACAGCCTGAAGATTCTGTAAGTAATTCATTCCCCTCTGCACAGCCACCACCATCCCTGCCCCCCAGCACCCTGTGCCAGGCACTGGCCATGCACTGAGCCTTGCAGAATGCAACTTAACCAGGCGTTGCAGCACCAGTTGCTGAGCACACAGAGGCTGACACGTCCCTGGGTGACGGAGGAGCTGCACCCACCCAAGGACCTCCACACATCCGCAGCCCTGCTTCCTCACTTCTGCTATGAGCACCCCCATGGCTCAGCCCTCCACGCCACATGGAAATGCACTGCAGGAGAACCTGCAGAAGTTCCTCTTTGGGTAAAACTCCCCAAATCCCCCGAGGTAATGTCCCCCAGATGTGGTGTCTCGGGGTGATGTGGACACACAGTCGGGTCCTGGAGCACCGCAGCCATCAGGGCTGTGCCTGAGATCTGCCAACCCCAGGAAATGCACATCATAGCGACCACCCCACCTCTGCCTGTCCGAGTGGGGAAGGGCTGGGGCTGCTCCCTCAGGAAGCTCTGAGGGATGAAGGCCACCAGCAAGTTCTTCCCCAGGGAATGGTTCCACAGCCCAGGGCAGTCTCACTGCTCACAGTCACACTTTTTGCATCCTTCAGGTCTGTGCAGGGCACTCAGCTGGGAGTCCCTCTTCCTCTCTTTCAGGAACCATCTTAAAAATCTCCTGCAATAAACATTTCATCCCCAAAGGGATGTTTTGAACTCAGCCGCAACGTGAAATTGTTGTAGCCGGTCCAGTTTATACAGAGTGAACAGGTACAGACCTGCTCCGGGATTAGAGAGCATAGGGCTGTTTACTGTGTCTTCTGAAGATGTAAAGTATGAATCCTGCCCTAAATCTCAGGGCTTAGAGATTTATCCATCCCCTGCATTAGGCAACAAATCAAAGGAACTGAGGAAAAACCGCAGCTCTCCCACCCAATTTCAACAAGAGGAACTTTCTACTTCAGGAACTCGGGAGCTTTTAAAGCCGCTTTTGATCAATTTCTATTTGTGTCAGGCCTGGGGAACTACTGATGCAGAACGTAAGAGCACAGCTCCTGCAGGTTGCAGTCATGAGAGCAATGCACTGCCTCTGTGAGATGCCTGCGTGCACTCAGGGACGGCTCTGAGAGTGGCCGCAGTGCAAGGAGAGGGCAGAAGGGCTGGAGATGGAGCTGAGCCCAAGACTTCTGCTTCTGGCAGCCTGCCGTGCCCTCAGCCAGGCTGTGCTCCTGACACTGAGCGGCCACTGGGCTGCCATTACAACCCCTCTGCCTGCCATACCAGCCCCTCTGGCTGCAGGGCTGCCCATGTATGCCTCCCCACTTCTGATGGAGGTCTGCAGAGGACTAACCCAGCTCCAAGACAAGGAAGGGTTGATGCTCACAGAGAATGTCTCATTGAGAGCAGTTCTTGCTTCCAAAAAGAAAGGCACTGCCAGCCCTTCAATTTCCAAAGCCTCGAGTCTTTCCTGCCCAGGTTTGCAGGGTATGTCAGGCTGCCGTGTGCTCCTGCTCTAATTGCTGTCTGTAAGCCCACAGGAGCGTGGTCACTGGTGCATGTAGTTATGAGTTCACTCCAGCCACTGAGTCCCTGCTGCCTCCAGAAGCAGCATTCACCTCCATATTTTCGTCACTGTGATGGTGATCTGGGGGTGTAACCAGGTGCTGGAGGTCTGTAAGTTGGTGCACCTGCACAGCACACAGAAGTGTGCTCTGAACTGGTCGCACTGAGCCTCAGAGCATCAGACAGTCCAGCTGCACCCATGTCCTGCAGAGCTGCACTGGGCAGGGCGAGGTGGCCCGAGCTGCTTCCTCACTGCTCCCCATCCAGATCACGTCCTTGCTCCCTTGGGACCAGTACAACCACTCCTGCAGTCATGTGCTTTTCTCTTCACTTTAATCTCCAACAACAAACCACACATCTTGAAGGAGGTATCTGGAGAGGGAATCTGAAAAGCCCATGAGGCAGGAGAGATCAGAGAAACGCTGGGATATGAGGTATTAAAAGCGAGGAGCAGAGAGGAACGTCCTGTCTCCTCCCTTTCAAAAGGGCCGAGGCATCAGGCTGATTCCTGACCGGGCTGCTTCCATGGAAACCAAAGGAGAAGTGGGGAGGAGGAGTCACCTGTCAGGTTGTTCCCCTGGAGGTGCCAGGCTCCATCCGACAGCCAGCAAAGGCTCTGGGATGCGCTGCTGGGATAGCTGACTGCACAAAGCTGGGGGTGGGCAGCCGAAAACGGGGCTGGGGGAGAAACCAGAGACCCCCGGCAAGATGAACTAAAGGGAAAACGAGGCAACTGAGGTCACCTGCCATCAAAGAAAGGTGGATGAGGATGGAAGTGGCCCTTTAAGGACAAACAGCGCTGCAATGAGGAAGGAAACACTTCTCCATACCTGAACGGCAGGACTAGCAGGCTTTGGAGCGGATGGCAGCGGGGGAATTGAGGACAGATCAGCTCCGTGGATGTGCGTGCTGCCACGGGTGGCAGGCGGCGCAAAGCAGCACATCCTGCTGCAGCCTGAGCTGTTCAGCTGGGTCACTGGGCTCAGAGCTACGGCCTGAGGGACGGGGGTGACCCCAGAGAGACAGGGATGGTAATTGATTTTAGTGTGGTGGGGCCTTAGAGCTCGTTGCAGTCATGTGCATGCCCAGAAGTCAACTCTGGGGCTGTTAAGGGGCCTGGTGCTTTCCAGTCTTTCCAGAGAATTAACTTCTGTTTAAAAATGGATGGGAAACACCCTGGGAATTCCTTCCCAAACCTGTCCATGCAGATGGTCCTCTCCCTGCCCTCAGAGTGAATCCCAGAGCTTCTGGAAGCAGGACCAGCTTGTTGGCTTTGCCTCCTCCGGCTGCTCCAGTGCACAGAAACCACCTGGAAAGTGGCCATAAAGATAGGCCTGTGCAGAAACCATACGGGGCACAGCCAGGGGAGCAGGTGTGGAAGAGAGCAAGTGAAAAGCCAGGCATTTTGCTATCAAAAAACCACCATGACACAAAAGAATGTGCCCAAGATCTTCATGTACTGAGCCCTAGGCCTGCCCTGAGCCAAAGCAAGATGAGATGTGTCCTCTTTGGCTCCCTTAGCTGAGCACAGGCTGGCAGCTGATGGGAATGCCTGTTTGTAAAAGGACTTTGTGAATGCACCTCTCCCAGGGCTCTGCTCTGCAGCACGGCCAACCCTGACCCTCGCCACGAAGCCCAGGATCCTTGCTTCGGGGCCAGCATCATTAGAAATCAGCTCCATTGGCTGCTTCTGTCCTTTGCCATGCTACTTCTCTCCAAAACTGTCTCCTCACTCTGTGCTCCCCAATCCTTGGAGCTTTCCAGGGCAGCAGAATGGAAACTGTCCCATCCTTCCAGAACTCCTCGTGAGCCACCCAGACCCTCATCTCCAAGCTGAGCTCCATCAGCCGTGAAGCACAGGTCCTGATTGTCCATGCGGCTGATCTTGCACTGCCATGGCTTCACACCGCATCCCACCCTCAGTCTGCTGCACAGAGGGGGTTGCCAGGCTTCTTGTTTTCTTGGCTGAACACGCCGTAGCAACGGCAGCACTCACAAGCCAAGGAGGGATCCCACACCAAACTTCACAGGGAAAAATTCCAAGCACAACCCGAGCCTGCCTCACCCCGAAACGTGGAGGGCAGAATGCCTGCGTGCATCCTCTTGGCTGCAGCGCTGGCACCCCCGCAGCCAGCCAGCCGGGGATGGCCCACACCATTGCTCCATTCCTCAGCAAGCCTCAACCAGCCCACGGCAGCACGCAGACCCAGCACTGCCCACAGCAGGCCCACACAGACACCGCTGTGAGCACGGCGCAGCACTGCCTGCATGGGCGCGCTGACCCCGTGCTCCCACCCCACGCCGCCCTGCAGCCACCGCCAGGGCTGCTCTCCATCAGCTCGTAGGCTGGACTGAGCATGGCATGAGTGGCCTCGCTCTGCTGTGCACCTCTCCTGGCTGGTTGGACCCTTCCCCATGGGACGCACTGGTCACGTCCCACACTGAGCCGCAGCCTCAGGTGGTGCAGAGCAGGCACCGGCTGGCTTGGTTTGTGAACACACATCAAAAACATCACCAAAAGGCCCCCAGGAGGGGGGTTTGCAGGTGGCTTGGAATGCTTGAGGAATCCCCGGCTAGGCCCTGCCTCTCTGACAACCCCGAATTTGAGCAGACCATGGGAATGGTGTCGCATCCAAGGGAGATGCTCCCATAGGGAGGGAAGAGGAATGTGCAGAGGTTGGAATGCCTTTAAGCCTGATACATGAGCTGCAGACACAGCTGCCTTAAGCGGGACCAGCCCTTAGACTGTGCTGGCTGAATCACTTCGGCCTCCCCAGATGGGGACACTGGATCATGCACAGACCTGTACCTCTTGAGGGCTGTGAGTCTGCTGAGACCGTCTTGTGCAAGGATCCTGGGGTGACGGGGCCATTTTCCTGGTCTCTTCCAGTAAATAATCTTTCAATTTCTGAGATCAAAACATGACCCCCTGAAGCACTGTGATCTGTGCTGACCCCAGTCAGAGTGACCTCACCTCCTCTTGTAGGTGTGCAGCCGTCCTCCCCTCAGCAGCAGTGCTCAACGTCAGCTCAGGGTGCACCCCCAGACCCAGAGATGTCCTTCCTTTGAGAGAGAACCGTTTATCACTCTGTGTTTGACGCCCCTGCTGCCTTTCTGTGAAAAGCTGGGAGCTCTGGCACAGCTCTGAACTGCAGTGCTGCACACACAGGCTGACGGTCACAGAAAGCCCGTCTGAGTGCACCTCAGCCCCTTCACTGGTGACACGACTGTGCTGCAAAGGTCCTTCACCTCACATCCCTGCAGCGGATCTCTCACTGCAGCACCAGAACCCCCCCGGGACCCCAAACCCAGGGCTGACCTGGACTGCTGCCTAAGAGCCCCGGGTGACCAGCACACTGCTTGCCAACCCCCCAGCTTTCTGCCTGGGGTCCGGGACAGCTTCAGAAATAAGCAGCAACATCTTCCATTTGGTCAGAAAAACTTTTGTATTCTTCACAGACTTTTTCCTTTTTTTCTAATTATAGGATGCTGCAGAACAATCAGCTGAGCCGCATCCCTGCAGAGGCACTGAGAGATCTTCCAAACCTCCAATCTCTGTAAGTCATTAAGAATCAATGCTGCAAGCTGTGCAGTCCCTTGGGGGCAGGACTTCCCAGCACTTGAGTCATTAGTTCCTTTGTCAAGGATGTTCTGTCCCTTCTTCCTTTTCTTTTCCAATTAAAGCAAAGATTACTGTCACTTAGCATTGAAGGGAGGGTGGTTTTCATGGAAGGAACACTGTTGTGGTAAAGGATGTTGAAATTACAGCTCCCCATGTGTGCATAGTGACGAAAAGACCACCAGAGCCAATGCACTTTTCAAGGAATGCTGGAAAATGTCCACCCGGGAGGGTTCTGTCCTCATCACTGCACACCACAGCGGGGCAGGGACCTGATGGGCACACGGAGGAGGAGCAGCTGTCAGCACGGGAGTCCTACCCACACAAAAGGCCGTTGTGTCAGAGTAGGAAACGCCTTAAAACACTTCTAGTGATTCAGGCACAAAGCCGAAGCTGTGGCGATGCTCTTCTTTTAAAGCAACTGTACCTACAGCAGCTCTGTGCTGCTGCACTCAACCGAAAATCACACATCACCAAAAGAAGTTTTCCTGAGCAGAGGACAGGTGGAAGTGCAAACAGCAGTGCAAAAAATGACAGCGGTTTGCACTTTGTCCATTTCCTGAGGACATCTGAGCAGGGCGCAGGACCCACAGCTGGCGGCTGGGAGCCCGGCGGGGCTGGGAGGCACAGCGCTGCTCCAGGTGGGACATTCCTGAATCTCAGCGTGCGTCACTGAGGTTTGTTCCACCTCTGGGCCACGCACTGCTGCCAGCATGACCTGCTGCTGTCCGTCCAGTGCTGCTCCCCCAGGGGAAGGCGCTGCCCTCGGGGCTGCAGTTCTCCTTCTGGTTCATACTTGAAGCAGAGAAGCTTTTCCTTCTCTCCGTTCTAACAGGGCAGCACTGCACTGGGGTGAAGGACTCCCAGCGTGAAAAGCAGCGTGTCTCAGTGTGGACAGTCTCTGTGTCTGTAGGCAGGTACAGAGCTGAGGTGCTTTGCTTGGATGTCACCGTGCTGCCATGACTTCTCTGCCTAACCTCAGGCCAAGAACCTCCAGTAGAGGTCTGTGTTACAGAGATCTGTTTTTTTTTATTTTATTATTTTTCTAATATCTGAGTCATTTTCCACGCGTTTATGAGACTCCCGTGTATTCGTTGCCAAAATATGAGCCAGCCTGGAACACCCATGAAACGCCACAGTGCGGTTTCTGAGCAGCACTGGTTGTGCTGCCTGAGACCCAGTGTGCTCCTATTGCCCAGAGCCTGTTTGTCTCCATTCCAAAGGGAAGTGGCCTCGTGCTGCACCATGACAGATCCTGGGGTACCGGACCTGCGTGGCACTTCATGGAATAGTAACCATCTGCACTGCAAGTTGGAGACTCAGCTGGGCAGAATGGGCAGCAGAACAGGGAGGTGAAAATGGGAGCCAGCAGGTGGGGTGGAACAGGCAGCTCTGCTGGACTGAAATGGACTGAAATGGACTGAAATGGACTGAAATGGACTGAAATGGACTGTGTGCTGGTTGTTTGCTTGCTCTTTCAGATATTTGCATTTGATGTCCAGGTTGGTTATTCTGGGATTGAGGTGGGATATGAAGGAAAGCACGCTCCTTATGGACACGAGAAATGGAGTTCTGAACACTCATCTCTTTTCTCAGGAGTCAAACCAATGGGAGCTGAGAACAACAGCTCTGAGCTTAGCTCTGTTTGTGGGACTACCCAGGAAATTCAAGGGGTCCTGCTGTGATCCCCTGCAGGAGCGCAGAGCAATAACAAACACCCGAGTGTGCTGAGCCGTGCGTCGGGCTCATTAACGGCTCACCCACAGGAGATGGGCACTGCGTCTGCCCCTGTGCCAGGCAAAGGGAGTCCGAGGTGTTTCAAAGTAAGCAGGTGCTATGAATTATAATGACCAGGTTGCAGAGGTAGAGGAAGGAAAGAGAAAAGAAACCTGGTGGATTAAGAGATCAAGACAAACTCTTCATTCTTCTGTTCCAAACACTCGTGGAAAGCGATGGGAAGAACTGGCTCTTTCTGGAGCTCAGCACTGTGCAGAGGGCTCAGCGTGTGTCTGGTTCACCCAGGCAGGGGTTGGCACTGGGCGCCCCTCAGCCAGGGGCAGGACTGAGTGGACACAGAGCACCCAGTCGGGATCCTCCCTGCTGGATAAAGGCGTCTACCCACTGATCTCCTGACCCACAGGAGCTCGTTTCTCCTCCTGCAGAGAGCAGGCTGGTGGAGGCCCTGAGCAGCCTGGGCATAGAGACACAGCTGCAAGGGACACTGGCACATCCAGCCTGCAGTGGGACATCAGCAGGGTGAGGGGTTCGTCTGAGCTCAGCTCCTTGTATCCAAGCAACTCCCTTTGGTCAAGGGAGAAAAATAGGTGCTTTGGGAGGAAACTCAGAAGAACCTTTCCAGCTGAACAATTCCAGTCCATTCCACTCCATTCTAAATGGCACTTCTAACTAAAGTAATATGGATCCTCCAACCAAGTCTTGCCATCCTGGGATCTTTATCAGGAATGTTATGAAGTCTTAAGGAAGTTCAGCAGACTGCTTCATCCCCTGTCCCTCGAGGCAGGTAATTGTTGTTACATATATACAGCTAGAGATTAAAATGCAAAGAATGACTTATAGCAATTTGCAAACATGTGGACTTTGATGTAGACAAAGCAGGAAAGCTTCCCACCTGATCAGTTTCTCACAAGCATATAAATTCTTATGACAGAAGGAAGGAAAAAAGGCTTTGGAATCGCCACAGCCCAAAGAGCTCAGTCAATTCATTCCTCATTCCACATCTTTGATCTGGCTGAGATTTAGCAGTTTGCTGTTAACAGCAATAATCTCTATAAATCACAGGTGATGCAGTAAGGCTTAAGGAAGGTGTTGTTTCCATTGAGAGATGGGAGGATAAAAGCTATAGGAAGAAGCAGACCTCTGCAGGTCAGCCGTGCTGGAACGTGGCATTATGGTGGTCAGTCGGGTCAGGTAGCTGGGAAGCCAGGTGGCTGGAACAGGAACTGATGGCTTTGTGCTGGTGCTGAGACAGCGCTGGGTCCTTCCCTTGTGGTGGATGGCTGCTGCCAGGGAGGAAATCAGCTCTTCTGAGTCATCTTCTATGGCTTCACTACCAACCATTCAGGTAAGCCTCTGCTGTGCCACATCTCCCTCAGGCAGACCAGGTGGGTTCACTCCTCTGACTTTAGCCATCTTGATATTACTCATCTCAGGCAGTCAGCAGTGGGAAACGATCAGCATCTCCAGGGCGTGAATCATCCTGCCATCTCAGAGCCCCGTCTGGGGGATGGACGGCCCTCCGGAGCGGGCTGGTTTTCCCTACTGGCTATGGAGAGACACTCTAACTGGTTTCAACTTCTACATGAATAACAAATGGGGTTTTCCTACCCCTGCAAAGCAAGGAATAGTAATCCAAAAAAGGCTCCTCTCCTCACCCTGCACACACACACCCCATCAGAGCACGAGTACCAAACCGGAGCTGAGCATCTCATCTCCCTCAGCTCTGCACAGAACCCACCACTTTCTTATGTGGCCCCCAGAGAAAGCTCACAGAGGATGTTGTCTTGCCCAAAAGCAAGCCCTGATCCTTGGGATAGGTGAGCAAATCTTTCTTTCTTCACGTAGATTGTGGCCATTGCTTCTTTGGCTCATTTAAGAACTCATTATCTGCTGTTGTCTTTCCCTACACATAGAGATGCTTCAGGAGAACTGGAGACAGAAAGCCAAATAAGAGATGAACAGCACATTCAAATTAGGCACATATATGTAACACTGGGGCCTCCCTATAAGATGCAGTGCTGCTGTAGGCTGCTGTCAACTTTTGCTCTCTGCCTCTTTCATAACATGGTGGATTTCAAGGAGCAGCTCCATCAGCGAGGCACAGGAGCTCTCTGGCGAGCACCAAATATGCAGGACCTCCTCTGCTTGGTCTCTGGCTGTTTCTGTCCCTTCTGTGTTTCACTATGGGCTCAGGGGGTGATGCCAGGCTCCCAGGGAGATGGCAGATCAGGGATCAGCATGGCAGCTGCCCGCCTGTCAGCAATTTCCAGAGTTGCACAGGGATTTTGGCAGTCTTTCTTGCACGGTTCTGACCTGAGGGGTTTTGGAGGTGTCTGCAGCTGGAGATAACAAAGCCCTCTTGTCTGTACCAAAGGCACTTTGTGTGGAGTCCAGGTATTGCTCTGATTTCATTTCCTGAGCATCCCTCATGGAGGGCTTCCCGGAGGTGCATGTCCCATTAAGCCAGGAGTGGAGACTCGCTGCGTTTCAAACCGAGCCCTGCAGACTTTTCCACCAGGTCCTGTTGCCTAGCCAAGGGGCTGGGAACGTGCTTGCAGCTCAAACCTTCATTCGTTGCCTGGGATGGTAATCACAAGAGTTCTTAGTTGGAAATGGAGCTAGGAAACTCTTGAAAGTTTTTCTGGAGGGCTGTGAGCTCTCCTGTGGCAGGGGCAAAGGGCCTGGTTTTGGAGCAGGGCTGCAGCTCGGTGCCTCCCGTACTGAATAAGATGAAAAGTTAAAGTCATAGAATGGCTTAAGTTGGAAGGGACCTTAAAGGTCATCTGATTCCAACTCTCAGCCATGGGCAGGGCTGTCAGCCCCCAGAGCCCCGTCCAACCCGGTCTTGAATACTTCCAGAGAGGGGCACCGCCGCTCCGGCAGCAGTGCTGTGTGCAGTGCTTCATGACCACCAGGGTGCAAATGGCAGCAGAGATTGAAGCGTCCTTCCAAGCTAGCAGTGCAGTCCCTGGCTTCTCTTCTCCTCTCCCTTTCGGTACCTACTGACAGGAGGAGCCCTTGCTGTTGCGGTGGCTCGGGGACCCTCTGTGTGCCCAGCTCTGTGCCTGGCAGGAGGGGCCGCGTGCATGGAGCTGGCCTGGGGAGATCCGGGAGTCCTTGGAAGCTGCTCTGTGCAGCTCTGGGGCCATCCTTCCTCGCGAGGCCCTCAGTTCTGAGCACGATGAGCTCCCAGGAGCTCGGAAGCCAGGCGCTGACTCAGTGCATCCGGGAGCTTTGCCTGAGAGAGGAGCAGAGGTGTTGGCCATCCTCATTATGAGTTATCAGAGAAGCTGAGCTGCAGTGACATCATCTCCTCCTTATATTACTACAAGGAATTCAGATGCTATTATGGGATAGGAGGTAACTCAATTGAGCCTTTCAAGATAAACTCAGACAGGAAGAGAGACATGATTGCCCGAAGGCACCAATTAAGACGTTTCTGGTGAGATCAGCTCTGTTCTGCAGACACGTGCACACTGGGGTAGGCAGAGAGCAGCTCTCTTCCTGAGGAAGGGGCGATCTCTGGGCACAATCCTCACTCTTTTGGAGGTCACAGCTCTCTCCAGACTTTCCTTTCTTTGTGTTGCTGCTGAGAGATTGGGAAGGTGCAGAGAATCTCCTGTGTTTGGATGAGAACAGCCCAGAACCACTCAGAGCTGCCCACGAATTTTGGTGGCAAGATTTCTCCTACTTTATCAAGGGAAATAGTGGCCAAATATATTTCAGAAATGCTGGGGAGGATGGATAGGCACCTGAAGCCACAGAGTCCTGTTGCGGTGATGCTGTAGGAGAGTGTTGCAGGGTCTCCGCTCTGTAGCTTTAAAATAGATAAAGGAGCAAAATCTGGGCACTTTGAAGATGTTTTTGTTTTGTCCAGGCGGCGCCTTGAGGTCACATCACTGCCCATAGCCACCAGTAGCAGACTCGGTCCTGAAGCCAGAAGTGGAGGCTTAGAGCTGCTGCTGATTTTCACAGGGCATCGTTCTCGAGTGCCCCACTTGAAGTCAGCTCCTTCCTGCACCAAGCGGGGCACAGCTGTGCAGTGCTTTGACTGCTGGTTCAGGTTGTGAAGTCACTGGGAAATGTTGTCCACGCAGACATTTGGGGACCATGGCGTCTCATCCCCTCTGCAGACCTACAGCACTGCTTGGAGCACACATCGCACCAAGTCCCAGCAGCTCTGCCAAGCTTCTGTTAGCAACAAATGAGTTAATGCTGCAAGGAAACCGACTGAGTGATTTGGTGAAATAAAGAGGAAAAAATCTCCGTGGAAGGTGAGGAGCCAGCCCCAGCCTGCGCCGTCCCATTTACCTGCTAATCGGCCTAATTATCTTAGGTATAAATCATAACAGCAAACACTTACAGAGCCAGAGTCACACACCGAAGAAAGGAGAGAACTGTTGGGTTGGTTTTTGTTTAGTATAATTGGTATAATTACTAACAACTCCTTGCCAAGAACTTTAGCTTTTCTCCTTCCAGAAGAGAGTGGAGAGCTGTCTGAAAGCCATAGCAATTAGCAATCCCCACATGCACAGCTTTTATTAGAAAGAATGCACCTCTATTCCAGAAAGAGCCAGCAACTCCCCGGGGAGGAATTAAACAATGCAGAGGTCTTTTGGTAGCAGGAACGTGGCCATGGCTCGCTCTTTGCTCCCTGCTCCCTCACTGGCACTGTGAAGGCACATCAGAAATCAGCTGCCCATCAGGACAGAGGTGGAATGCCTTTAGATGGACCCTTCCCTGCTCTTTGTTTTCCTCCTCTGGCTCCACACAGGGCTGGGCTGTGGTCCCAGCAGGCTGTGATATCTGGAGGGATGTCCAGCTCATTGATGCTCCCCTTCAGTCTGGCTGAGGCCTGACTTGAGCACCCTGGAGCAGATTGGGGCAACAATTACGTGGCTGGAGCCAACCAAGGAGGCAGGCAGCATCTCCCAGGGACAGCAGCCAGCTCAGCATCCATGCTCTGGCCAGCGTGGTGGAGGTGAAGAGGGAGAAGATGCGGGGCTCCTTCTGGCCTTCAGAAGGGTCCTCCCAGCAATAAAAGGCACAGAGCAGAGCCTGGCTGCAGCACACTCCATGCAGGAGCATTACAGAGCCATTGGGTGAAGCTCACTCATCACCCCTCTATATTACCATGGGGATCCACCTCCATACCTCTGAGCACCTCAAAAAAATCCACCAAGGACCCATCCTGCTCCACTGGCACTGCTGTGAGACCTACAGGACCATGCATGTGAGAGAGCCTTTACTGAGCGTATGCTGAGCAGCTGTGAGGAAACCTGGCCTCGTTAACAGCTCCTCTAATCATTAACAGCTCCTCTAATCATTAACAGCTCCTCTGACACCTGGGGTGCCGTCACTGGGGCCAAATTCCCCTGGATTCTCGTGCCTTCACACAGGAGCTCATGGCCAAAGCAGGGCGGAGAGCTCAGAAAGTGCTGGGGCAGCCCTGAATCCATGAACCCATGCTGGACACCAGAACCCATTTGGACCCCTCTTGGACCATCTTGAGCCCATCTGAACCCATCCTGGACCACCACGAACGCATCTCAGACCAACATAAACCCGTCTTGGATCCTCTTAAACTGTTATGAACCCATCTTGGACCTCACGCCAAGGTATCAGGAGAGCCCTTGGCTCTCTTTCAGCATTTCCATTTCTGGAAGCTTAATTTGGTTTTGAAATATTGTAACTCTTCTCAGCAGATATTTTCATTGTCTGCTCTTTAATTAATTAAACTTGAAAGAGAGCATTCACTTTAAAACAATTTTCAGTAAACATATAGGGATTAAGTAAGCAGTACTTTTTAATTTCTGAGAAACAAACGGTGGTGCCAACAACTAACAGAATTCTTATGCTGGGGAAGGAATGGAAAAATTAAGCAAAGATTAACATTTCCCACACGAGTTTTAATTTTGGTCGAAAAGTTCTTGTTTGTCCCAAAACATGTTGATGAAAACTCTCAAACAGGCTCTTTAATCTCACCCTGAGCTGCTGCAGGGTTTCCTTTCCTTCTCTTTGTTCTTTGAATTTGTGGGAAGATGAGTGGGGCTGAACTGGGTGCCACGGGGTAAACTGAGGCAGGCTGTGCACCGCGCTCTTCCTCTTCAAGGTGAAAGCATCCGCTCTCATGTTGGTGTTCTGAGCACAAAGGCAAACCTGCAGCAGCCACGCTGAGCTCTGGGGGTGAGGTCTTCTCATCTACGGCTCCCCCTCCAAACCAAGAGAGCTGGGGAAAAGCCTGCACTGGGAAACAGAATGAGCTGCTCATGGGCCTTCAGCTGGGGCTGTAGGAAGCGAGTTCCGAATTGTTCAGTTTTTGCCAAAAATGTTACTTCCAGCAGCCAGAAAGATGAGCTTCTGAGCCGTGTTCCTGCTATGGATGCCACGGATCTGAGGGCTGTGCGAGGCAGCGCTGCTCCCTGCCTTCCCTCTCGCTATGAGGGGCGCAGCGCCTCTCAATTCGGAGATCCTTCAGATGATCTGCAGGAACACGGGGGGCTCCGTCAGCCAGGGCGAAATCTGAGTTTTCTCCCCATTGCTGAAATCGGTTCCTGGTCGTCCGTCCAAATCTGAAATGTTTTACTCTTACATTTAGATTTCGAATTCTGCAAATAACGCATTTTATCCACCTCACTGCTGTTGAAATAAGAGATCTTTATGCAAGATGATTCCCAAACCTATTTCTTCAACTTTTTTTTTTCCCATAATGAGCTGAATATCTTTTGGCTTCTCTCTTCGTTTTTGGAACAAAAACAAGTCTTAAAAATTACGGATTCTAACCAAATCAAAGCTCTGCTTTTCAATTGCCGTAAGGATTCCATGATTTAAAAAAAAAAGGGGGGGGGGCAATTGGCGAATCGAGGAGAGAGAAAGGCCTGGGCTGCTGCAACGTGCAGCTCTCAGGTTGATTCCCGTGCTGTGACACGCGGTCTGATTCGCGCCCGGTGTTTCCTGCCCCCGTTCTGCTCGGGTCTCGCACAGGGCGCTGCTCGCTGCAGGCGCCTCTTCAGGCAAAGCATTTTCCCCTCCAATGGGGCTCTTCCCACTTCGCTTGGTTTGCCGTGCGCCCCCCGGTTGCGCGCAGGGCGGCGCTCTGCGGGGTCAGGAGGACGCACGGTAAGCCTGGCCCTGGGGCGCGTGGCTGTCGGAGCGCTGCCTGCTGCGCCTGTGTGCACGGGAGCGGCCCATCCGTGTTGCTTCCGACCACCAGCAGCGCCTCACGGCCGTCAGCAGCGGCAGCCAGGAGCCCGGAGTGCCGGCAGGGCCCCGCGCCGACCCCGCTGCTCTTCCCACCCGATCTCCCTGCCGTCCGTCCGTCCCGCCTCGGCACAAAGCTCCCTTTGCGTAACTCTGCGGTGCTTCCAGCGGTGCCGGCTCCATCTCTCACTCCTCCCCGCCCTGTTTGTTTCCCACCCAGACGCCTGGATGCCAACCTCATCTCCGTGGTGCCCGAGGGGAGCTTTGAGGGGCTGCAGTCCCTGCGGCACCTCTGGCTGGACGACAACGCGCTGACGGAGATCCCGGTCCGAGCTCTGAACCGCCTCCCAGCACTGCAGGCCATGACGCTGGCGCTCAACCAGATCTGGCACATCCCCGATTTCGCCTTCCAGAACCTCAGCAGCCTCGTGGTGCTGTAAGCTTTCTCCATTTGTTCTCCCTCCCATCGAGGACAAGGTGTTGTGGCCGTGCAGCGCTCCTCTTGCTGTGAGATTGGCTCACGACAGCCTCACAGCCCGCTGATACCAAATGCCACTTCAATCTTTTTTTTTCAACACCATTTCTTAAGTGGGGCAGCTGAAAAGCTCCCCGTCACCTTCCAAAAAAAACATGGTTTGCCTTAAAGAAGATCAGTGTCTGGAAACAAAAAGCAGATCTTTTTCTGCTGGGAAAAAAAAAAAAAAAAAAGAGCAAAATGCCTCTGATTTCTATGAAAACTTTGAGCAAATCTGATTCTGAACGACTGGGCTGAGCTCAACACCTTGTCCACACCTCACACGGGGCTGTGCCACGCTCCTGCTGTCTGTGCTGGGCTCCATCCCAGCCCTGCAGTGCTCACTGCTGCTGCTTGCATGGCAAAGAGCGAGCGGCAGCGTTTGGGGGCGCGGGGTCCAGGGGGGTCCATTGCCTCCATGGGACACAGCAGACAGAAACCAGTGCTGTCGTGCCATTTATGAGGTGCCTCCCATCCATCAGCAGAGCCCTGGGAATTATCTCACGCTTAAAGGAAGTTTACATGTGCAAATTAGCTAGTCATTAATTTTTGGGTGTTGATTAATAAGCTCAGGTGTGATTGCCAATTAATTTGGAGGTCCTGTATCTACACGAAATGCTGTCAGCTGGGTGATGTGCATGTTTTGATATCGGGGTGTGAAGAAACCTCAGCATGCGGTGCCTGGGGAAAGCGTGGCAACCATGTCACTGTCAGGAGGCAAAGTGTGTGCTGACACATCTGTCACAGACTGAGCCCGGCCAAAGCGCAGCCCAGAGCTTTATTAGCATCAGCTTCAGTTGTTCAGGCAAATCATAAAGGCTTCCTTAAGGGAAATGCTGGGATGAGCCGTGTCAAATAAGTCATTTTTACCCACAACAATGCCTGTCCTACCAGGACATCCACGACCCACAGTGCAGCTGCTTCACTCAGCATTAATAGCCAGCAGGGAGGGTGAGCTGACATTTGGGTTGTTTCAGTCTCCAAAGCGTGCTGCTCTCGTTCTTGTTTATCCCGTACTCTCAGCGAGAAGCAACTCCTTAATTAAACAGGCAAGCCCAAGAAATAAAAGCCATTGACCGTGAGGTTGTGAGGGAGAGAATAGCGTCCCACCACAGGCAGTTGGGAAGGAGCAGATGTGTGGTCCTGCCGGGCTGTGGGACACGGCGCGGAATTTTTGTGGGCTCACAGAGCGTTTGGCAGATCTGCCCCATAAATCTGCCCCATAAATCTGTGCCACGCAGCCCCCCGTTGGCAGCAGCGCAAAGTAACCCCGCGTCCTCCTTGTGCCTCCGTTCATCTGGCGGCGTTTCCCCGCCCCGCTCACCCGCCCAGCTGAGCACAGCTCCCAGGCGTTGGCTGAGGGGCGCAGCGGGGTTTGCAGGGAGGTTTTCCCTACCGGGATGCAAAGGATGCACACACGTGTTCCTCTGCTGAGGGCTGAGCGCACGGTGATGGCGGAACGGTGTGCTGGGCAGGGCTGGCGTGAGCAATTCGTTACCCAGAACACTGCCCAGCAGCCGGGCCTCGTTCACGGGACCTTTTCAATTTGCAAAAGCGCCTGTTCTCATGAGGACTGAGTTTGCTGCCTTGGGAAAAGTGAGTTTCCTTCTTCGGCGCTTGAGGAAGAAATGAATGGTGCTCCAGTGCTGACAGCGTCACTTCTGATCAAGCTTCATTCTCTGCCCAACAAGTCCAATGCTTGTCCTGCACCACTGGCAATAATCAATGGGAATTTGCACCATTTATGATTTAGATGTCTCTATTCATCCGTAGCTGTGGATGAACAGAGACAAAGGACAGATTTGCCTCAATGGAGTGAGGGATTCATTGTGGCAATAGCTGACCCAGTGGGAAAGCTCACATCGAGTCAGATTCAACCTTGTTCAAAGTCCCACAGTGCGAATGACTGATGGAGGATGTTTGCATTGGTCCTTTTTTTCTTTCTTAAGATGAAAAAATGAAGTCATTAGGAATGAAAGCAATGGAGAATCCACCACTTCTCTTTGTAGTTTGTTCCAGGGTTAATCATCCCTGTGTTAGCAGAAAGAGAAAGAAAAAGCTCACATTTCCCATTCAAATTTTCTTTGGCTTCGACTTCAGACGTCTTATTATTCTTTTCTCTGCTAAATCACAGAACTATTTCAGTACCCATTTTCTGACCAGGAGGGATCCTATACATTCTGCTGCGCTCAATACCCTGATCTTATTTTTAATAAGCAGAGCAGACTGTGTTCCCTAACTCTCCATCCTGGTTCTTTCCATCCCTTGGATCCCCGTTGCTCTTCTCTGTGCCCATTCCAAATTATCACCATCCATTTCACAGTGTGGGTACCAGAAATACACAGAACCTTCTGGAGCTGCTTTCACCACTGCACTGCCCAGGTGGAACATCCCTTCCATGCCCTCTTCTTGATGCAGGAATCGCCTTCCTGAAGCACATCAGCTACTTTTCTTGGAATGCTTCTCGTCTCACCAACCAAGGGACCAAGCAGGACGAGGCCCTGCGTCCCATCCCGGGGATGATGGCAATCTGGGCTCTGCAGACACAGCAGAGGAGCCGGGGAGATGCCAGAAAACTCAACCAGTGGATGTGCCACCCAACAGAAAGCAATGACTGCCTGAGCAAAGCCAATTCCATGGGGGGTTGTCCACAACCAGCCCTGTCCTGTGCTGCAGTCCTGCACATGGAGACGCACGGACCTCAGTGCTTGCTGGCTTTGCTGAGGACAGAGCAAATCCCATCTCCAGCAGGAGAGGCTGGGGGGTTGGACTCGATGATCTCTGGAGGTCCCTTCCAACCCCTACAATTCTGTGATTCTGTGAGGTTCACAGACTGCTCGTGTTTGTGCGTCGTGAGATGGTTGTTTACAGCCCAGAACCAAACATCCCTATCTGCCATCACACCAGCTGTAATTTACGGGGCAGAATATAACGCTGTGTGGGCTGAGCTCAAATTGACAAACATTGGAGATGTTGCAATTCCACTTGTTAAAATGTGTTTACCATTGGAGGGAAAAAAGGGGCAGGATGGAAGAAAAGAATGTCTTTTCAAGTGTTTACCTTTCCAGTTTATATTGCATTCAGACTGGCTTGTTTCTATTATTGCCATGTGGTTGGATAATGACTCCAGACTTCAGCTTGGACGACAGTTTTTCTTATAACTCCCTTTTTCGATTGCTCTTAATTTTCTCACCAACAAAGCACCCTTCGGATGACTTCCATTACTCTGCCTCCAAACAAAGACCCTTAGAGCCAAATATGAACACAGCAGGTGATGGTTTTTCTGTTCTCTCTCCTGGCCTGGCGGATAGCAGCAGTCAGACCGAGCTGCTCTCATGCCCCAGCCCAGGCAGGTCGGGCTCTTTGTGCCGCCCCAGCGCAGCCCCACGGCTCTCACTTCTTCCCCAGTGCTCAGCATTTCCTCCCTCCTCACAGCTGAGCTGTGGGTTCCTGTGCTGAGGGTGAGAGGCTCCAGATCCAGAAGCCCCATTTGCCAAGTGCCACATCCAGTGTTCAGAGGGACCCAAACAACTGGCACCGTCCTGCGCTGGAATTGCCAGATGAAGCGAGAACAGCACGATCTGCGGCGAGCTCATAAAGTTTGACAGAGGAAACCATTTGGACCTGAACTTCTTTTCTTGTGACAAAGAGAATTCCTCCTGCAGGATTCAGCCCCAGAGGAGCAAACGCATTTCATCACACTTCTCTCCCTTCCTGTTCCCTTCCTTTGAAATGTTTGCACATCCCCACAGCTCACATCCATCTTGGGCTGCTTTCTGAGCCGCGCTGCCCTCGAGCCTCCCAGCTCCCTCCTGTTTTACCCCAAGAATTTGGCAGTGGGAGCTGTGTGTGCTCAGCCAAACGGTTCCCACTTGAAGCCAGGTGGAGCGAGAGATTTTTCAAGCTGAGACAGATTGAGATCAAGCAGCAAATAATGAAAAAAGTCATTGATTCACCTGCCAGTGTGCAGCCTCCTGCGGGCTCTTGGAAGGAGGTGCTGGACTAAGGCTGGTGCAGCTCCGGGTGTGGGAGGGGGACCCCAAGGCAGCAGCAGATGAACCACAGGGGGCTGTGTGTTAAAGGAGAACCTGAACTGGTGGGGAAGGCGACCCCGATGGGGATCAACAGGAGTGTCCTGCCCTGGAGGATTCTGCATGCAGGGAAGGACCTCCCCAGAGTGCTTGAGGTGGGCTGCCTGAAGCGCAGGCTGGGCAGCAGAGTTGTCTCATGTTTGATGATCCTTAAGGTCTTTTCCAGTCTGAGCAATTCTGCGGTTCTATGATTCTGTAACTTTCATTGCAGTCAGGAGCGAATCCAGGACTGGACGGATTTTCTTTTTTTTTCTTTCTTTCTTTTTCTTTTTTTTTAAGGAACAATAATAAACTGTGATTAACAGGATTATTTGGAGCTCAGAGCCTTTTTGCTGCTGTTAATTCTCTGAGGAGTCTGAGTATAGCTCTGCTCTTGGTAGCACCCAGTGCCCATGAAGCCACACAGCTTTGGTAGAGTCAGGTCCAATGTTAGCTCTGCAGGGTCATTTGTAGAGTGTTTCTTGAGGGTTAAATTTAAGCATTTTCACCCAAATTTAAGGTCTCAGGAAATGCCTGGACTTCCTGGGAGAGTAGGAGCTGCTGCATGAGCACTACTGCACCCAGCATGTGTCCCATGAGATGGGGGAGCACCTTACAGCACCCTCACCATCCCCGCACAGCCCACGCTCGGCTTGCAGGCTGGGCCACGGCTCAGGTTGGCAGGAAAAGTTCATCTCTGATCTGCAGTGAACACCTCTGTTCTGTCCGCAGGCACCTTCACAACAACCGCATCCAGCGCCTGGGGGCGAAAGGCTTTGATGGGCTGCACAACCTGGAGACGCTGTGAGTCGCCTTTTCCCCTCTGTTCCTCCCCGGTGTGCTCTGCCCTGCCCCGTGCTGGGGAGCAGCGTGTGGCCGTGGGCCCCTCTGAGCTCCCCCACCTTCCAATAGGGCCTGGGCTGCCTGCAGCGCTGCCCCCAGGAAGGGGTTGATGTCTCTGTGTCAGCTCCTGCTGCGCGTTTCCTCTGTGCCAAGAATGGGGCAGGACAGACCTGCATTTCTGCCCCTACTGCTGCAGAGGGCTCTGCAGGAGGGTGGGGGCTCTGAGGAAACAAATCTGCCCTCGGTGCAGCGCTGGCTCCATGTGTCCCCACTCCTCACCACTCACACGCAGTCCCAAAGCCTTCAGAACAGCAGACGCTGCCAAAATGAGGGGTTGGGTTCAGCACAGGGCTGGCTGTGTTCGTGGGGATCTGTGCAGCATCTCTGAGAGGCTCTCGTGTCACCTGGCAGCACCCAGAGCTAAGGCCAGGAAACACGCAGCAACGGAGCAGCCTGAGCCAGGACAGCCTGACCCTGCAGCCACGGCGCTGATGGCAGCCCACTGCCCCTACCCTGCGGCTCCTGTCCCTGCTGAGCAGGGGGGGTTCGCCCTTTGGGAACGGGGCTCTGCTCGAGGATTGCTCCACTCCGGCTCTCGTGGCCCCAACCTGAGCTTGTGAGTGGACATGTGAGTGGAGCCTCCTGCAGCTGCGAGGCAGGGCTGTGGGTGAGCTCTCCTGATCCACGGTGCTGATGGAGCGCCTTAGGAAAAGAGAAGGATGGCTCTTACCCCCGAGCTCCGATTCCCAGCCTCGCACCGAGCAGAGCTCTCTGAGGAGCCTCTCGTCCCTCCGTGGGTTCAGCACCCATTCACCCTGCAGCAGAACTGTCTGTGCGTGGTGGCTGCACCAGCAGAGCTGCCAGCGCCGCAGCTCCCGTGCGTGTGGGGACTGCTGCAGCCTCCTGCACGTACCCTTTAATTCAGGTTATGATTACATTCTGTTGACAGCACTTTGCACGTTTTCTTGGCTGGTGCTGGCAGTGCTGTGCTCTCGTTTACCCTGTGGGCGTCACCTCCTGGAAGGCTGCAGGAGGGGAAGAGCTGGTGAAGACAGAAACATCTCCGGGCTTCCTAAAATGAGCGCTTGTGGCCAAGTGCTGATTATAATCCAGGCACAATGGTTGAAGAGCTGTAGAACTTGAGTGGAAAGAATCGTTTTGGGGGGATGCAGAAGAGCCTGCACAGCTTTAGATGCAGAAACCGAAGGGAAATGTTTCTCTTCATATTCAGCTGGACAGGAAAGTGTCTATTTTAGCAAATTCTGGCAAAGCTCTTGGAGAAGCAGCACCTGGCAGGGCTGTGGGGGAAAGCCCACCATGGACGGACCGTTCTGCCAGCTGCCTGAACTGGGTGACCACGGCCTCTTCACCTTCTGCAGATGACGCAGCGTCGCAGAATCATAGAATCTCCAAGGCTGGAGAAGACCTCCCCATCCCCATCCCTGCCAGCTCCCCCTTCGCCATGCAAACCACTTGGAAGGAGCAAATCTTCCTTCATTTAAAAAGCTTTTGATTTTTTTTTTTTAATAGCGCTAATAAATTAAAACCATCTCCCAGGAGGGCCGGATCCCAAACCTCTGCTGCGGGCGGTCAATCTGCCCAACCTCGCCTCACACGAAAAGCCCCGACCACAGCTTTCACAGCACACTGCCCCATTATCTGGGTAATTAGCCGAGGCTGTAAACGGAGAGCAGAGCTGGAGCCGCCTCTGAGAGCTGCGTTTTCTGTGGAAGGAGAAAAGCAAGCACTGATAGAACACACACCTGAGGAGCTGAAGGCAGAAGGAAGGAAATGGGAAATATCTCCACCACAGTTCGTATGAGGGCTGTTTAACCCTTTTAGGGCAAAAGTGTTGTTCTGGAAAACACTCTGCCTTGCTCTTCTGATGGGATTTGGCTTTGCCAACATGTCCCCCCCCCGCGGATGCTCTGCTGGCTGCCTCAGGAGGCAGGGGATGGAGAAATGGGTTTTGGGAATAGGGACCACAGCTCAGAGCTGTGTGGTTCTGCCTCTGGTCCAAGAACAGGGCTGCAAAGTGCATCACCTGCTTCAGTCATCGCATGGAAGGTGACTTTTCCACCCGGGCAAAGTCCAGAAGCACTCAGTGCTGCCTGGGAGGCCCCTGTGGGCTGCCTGCTCCCAGCCTGCTGCTCCTCTCCTGAGCACAGGAGCCCGGGGTGCCTCAGTGCTGAGCTCAGGCTCTGAACCCACGCCTTCCCACAGGGCTCTGAGCTTCACCTGGTTGTGTCCCCGTGCAGAGACACAACGTTTGGGGAGATTATGAGGAAAAAAACAAGCAGTGAGCGGAGCCAGCCCAGGTCACTGCGTTTCGCCAGCTTATGGCTGTGCTGTAAGGCTCATCTCCTTCTGCTGTTCTGGACCCCCCCGGGACAGTGACCCGTCCCCTCGTTGTGCAGCCCGTGCCAATGCATCACCGCAGAGAAGAAATCGCCCCCAGTACCCAGAGCTCTGCTCCCCGCCCCATTGCTCTCTTCCAACACCAACGTGCCGCGGGGGGCGCAGGTTTGTGCCCGGGGGGGGGGAGGCTGGGGGTCCTCCCGTCCTTCCTGCCGGTCAGCAGCACCCCGCCGTACCCGGCGGTTCTCCCCGCCCCACCGCTCCCCCCGCGTGGCAAAGCGCGGCCGCTCTCCTCCTCCCCCTCCCCGACCCTTCAGCCTCGCCGTTATCGTTTGTGTCCCACCGCCCCGGTTTCCCCCGCTCGGCGCTGCGCTCCTTTGTCTCTCCTCAATGGTTCGTGCGTGGCAGCGCTGCGCTCCCGGGACCCCCCAGGAGATCCCGCTCTCAAAGCCTTGTTTCGACCTTGTTAAATAAATCACACGGAATTGAAAACACATTTAATTCAGTACCTTCCTCGGTTAGAGAGCAGACAGCAACGCTGCTTGGAAGAGACGCATTCCGGGCACTGCTGCGTTTTTTAATGGAGAACAGAGCTCCAGGACGGCAGCTGCAGACATGCAATGTGGACGGACAGACGGTTCCCCCCCGCGCTCTGTGAGCCCCATGGATGTGCAGCACGGTGTGAGAGGTTCGGTGCGTCCGGGCCGGGCTGTCAGCACACAGCCCTGTTGGAGCTCACTGTTGGAAGAAATGGGTACCAGCACCACCCACAGCCCTGCCGTCACATCCTGGGTGCTCCTTGTTATCTGCTAAAACAGGCATCTGTGGGCCACGTTTGCTCCCGTGGATGAATCCCAGCACAGGGCAGCTCCCTCCTCTCTGAAGTCTCCATCTGGGTTTGTGCTGCTGTGACACGAGAGAAGCGTGGCACCACTGGCTGCTCCTGGCAGCGCTGCGTTTTGGTGAGCAGCCCGGTTCAGAGCCATGGAGGAATGCAGCGGGTCGGCTGGGCTCAGCACAGCTCCTGAGCCCCAGTGAAATCTGTCCCATTGCAGCAGAGGTGATTTCTGGGGAGCTGGCAGTGCAGGACAGCAGGGGATGCAGCCCCGCTTTGGGACACAAACAGCCAGCGCTGTGCTGCCTCCTGCTCCTAATTGTGTGCATCTTCAGGTTTATTAGCTGCAAATTTGTGGTGTTTTGTGGCTTATGCAAGAATTTATAGTACTGCATAATTGGGGTTTTTTCTTGTCTGTCTTCTTGTGTGGAACCACTAACAGCCCCTAACAGGCAGAAAATTGACTGGAGACTCTTTCCCCTCCTTCTCTCTTTCTGGCCCTGTTGGAGGTGTTAATAGTGCTGTGTGCTGTCGGCTCCAAATCAGCCCAGCACTTACAGCCCAGAATAGCTGCGCCTTTGATGTCAATTTGCTTTCATTTCTGCATAGACAAGGCTGGTTAAGATTTTCCTCATGCAGAGCTGCAGGCTCACTACAAATAACAGCAGTGTGAAGTCAGCCACTGCGCTGTGCTGAGGCTGAGCCCTCTAAGAGGTTTTCATTGTAACGTGGAGCACAGCTGAGGAAAGCAGTTCTTTCCCAGTCGGTTTCTGTAGGACTTGTGGGCTGCGTGACTTTGCTTCCAAAGGCCTTCGATGGTGGGCAAAGCTCCCTTCCTTGTGCCATTTGGCGCTTCTTCTCTTCCCACTTGAGGTTTTATGAAGTTCTCCTATTGTTTTGGGGTGAAGATGTCCGTGGGGTGGTGGTGTTCTCCAATCCAGCAATGCTGGCATTGGATCTGCTGTCCCAGATGCACCACCCCGCAGCCCTGAGAGCCCCCCACGCCCCTGTGCTGCCCTGCGGCCACCTCTGCCCATGGGCCACTGCAGTCATTGGGGACAGTGTCACCTGGCGGCAGGTCAGGCCTTCTGCAGCCCTCCCCACACCGTCCCGAAGCTGGATGCTGGGAGAAGGAGCTGATAGTGGGGTTGGTGACAGCGGAGCACCAGGACCAGAGAAACATTGGGATCAGCAAAGTGTTGGCACCAGCAAAGCATTGCAAAGCAGCTCAGAGAAGGCATGGAGGGGGAGCGGACACTTGAAAGAGTTTCCTGCAGCACATCCATTTGCCGTGTCCTCCCACCCCCAGAGAGAGGCTCACATGTCTGCAGAAGGAACCGAGGGCTGAACTTCCCTAAATGAGCAGAAATATCTGATTCCTGCGGAGCTCCTCACTGCCACCACCGCTGCCCAACGCGATGGCTGGGGACCACTTCTGGGCCACCGCCTGAACCAGGGCCAGGCTGGAGCTCCGGGAAGGAAAAGGAAGAGACGGAGAAGCCACCCTCAGGTGCCGCCCTGGGTCTGGGGCTCGGGAAGAGCTGCCCCTCTGCTGGGAAGGGCTGAGGGCCAGGGAGCACCGCAGTGCCCATCTCACCCAGCACCCAGGCAGACGGGCTCCCCACGTTTGGCACAGCGCAGTGCTGGAGGCAAGGCTGCACCCAGAGCTGGGGCAGCGCTCAGGGAGGCGGCGATGAGGACAGATGGGTTTATTTCCCGGGAGGGAACCTCACTACGCCAGAAACCAGGAAGCACCGCAGGAGCAAGCGTGGGCGCATCGCCTCTCCTCCTGGGCACAGCGGCGTTGCTGGCGGCCAGGCTGCAGCAGCATGACTACACCTGGGTGCACTTCCACTTCCCAACAAGCCCAACGCATGCCAGGAGCCGGCGGTGGCTTTTCTTCCCCAGAGGGATCTGCTGAACACAGCGCTCTTTGTGTGCGCCGAGCGCGGCGGGGGAGGCGCGGGGATGCTGCCAGGCTGGGAGAGGTGTGTGCTCAACTCAGGAAGGACGGGTCCTGTGCGTACTTGCACACACATCGAGGTACAAACAGAATGTTCATCTGCTGATGAAAGAGCAGCCTGCCTGGAAGAGACCCGGCCTGGAAAGGAAGTGGATTTCTAGAGAAAGAATGGGCGCAAATCTTACAGCGCCGAATTACCCCAGTCAATAGCATCGGGTGCAGATCCAACACCTCCTCTGTTCGTGAATCACAGGTGATGTGGGTTCTGTCTCTGTTGGGCAATACTTCCCACCTGGCGGCTTTCAGGCACGTCGGGTATCGCTGGAGATTCACCGTGGCAGCGCCCAGCAGGCAAAGCCAAAGCAGGGACACAGCGTGACCGCGGTGCAGGGAGGAGGGCAGAGGAGAAGGGGGGGAAGGAGGTCAGAATGGAATTGCTGTGCCTGGGCCCAGGGGGTGAGGATTACAAGGAAATCGGGCAGCAACTCATTGCTGTGTGAATGGGTGGTTATTTCTGTTCTGTAAACCACAATCCAAGTTACGTGGTAATTACTTCAAGGCCCATTAAGTGTAATTATACAGTAATATCCAGGAGCCCGTAATTACCCTCATGTTGCAGAGTATCTCCCTCTTAAAACTCAGTCAGTTTCATGCAGGGAGGAAGCAGTCAGAGTTTTCAGCCCTCGGGGTCTGGGCTGTCCAGAAGGAGCCAGAGGGGCCCATGCTGGCTGGAGCTGCCCTTAGGACTCCTGGTTGCCAAGGGTAATAAACTGCACTTGTCATTATGACCACCTGTATTAAACATATCCTATTGTATTTATTGTACTGCAAATTAAACTTTAACTCCAGAACTGTCCACCCCTCTTCCACATCACTTCCACCTTTGGCTCATGGTTTCAATGTGAGGTTCACATTGCCATCAGCCATCAGAAGAAGACCTGGACCTTCTCAGAGCACATTCCTCATAGGGTCCCCAGCTCATCCCAGCAGCTGGGAGCTCCAGCACTCCTATGAGAAGCACCAAGGAAGCTGTCCCTGCTCTGCAGGTCTCTGCTCCCCTCTACAATTAAGGAGAGCCCTTCCACGGGCTGAGCTGAAGCTGTTCTCATGTTTCTTGTTCTTTGTAACATCCTTTTGTGACCTGGAAAGGCAAGATAAATGACTCCCAGCCCCAGTGCCCGGGGGAGAGACTCTGGGAGAGGGGAATTGGGCGCTGGGGACACAAAGCAGCAGCATGAGGACTGGCCCTCCCCCGACAGTGCTCCTCATAGTGAACGTTCCTGCAGCAGGAATGTGGGAGAGCTGGTGTGCAGGCAGTGGCTGGATGGGCACGGTAGGAAAAGCCTTTCTGCTGTGCTTAGAGACCAAGTTTCCATCCCTTAAAGGCACAGATGCGCCCCACCGAGTTCCTCCAGCAACACTGATGACTGCTCTCCTCTCCGTCTTTCAGGGATCTCAATTACAACGAGCTGCTGGAATTCCCAGGGGCCATTCGGACGCTGGGCCGACTGCAGGAGCTGTGAGATTTCCTATTTATTCTTTTTCAGAAGGGTTCTCTGTTGGAAAGTGACCTACCAAACACTGCCCATGCTTGCACTGGGGAGGGCGCTCAGCTCGAGCCCTTCTTTTCTCTCGCCCACTCTTCCCACTACAAACACAGCACTTCATCCCCTCGCAATCACCCGAGTTGACACCCACAAAGGTAGAAGAGCCAAGATTGGGCAGCTGGCAGGGCTCCTCAGTCCTGAGAAAAGACTTTGTCCACTTGCTGAGCTGATGCTGCAGGCAGGACTGAGCCTTCACCCCCTATGTTATGTGCATCTTCTAACGGCCCTCTGCCTCCAGAAGTGTTGAGGAAAGCAGGCGCCTCCAAGCCCTTCCAGTGCGTTAATATCAAGATGTTTCTTTCTCCCAACAGCGGTTTTCATAACAACAACATCAAAGCCATCCCAGAGAACGCATTTGTTGGGAATCCCCTTCTCCAAACAATGTAAGAAAATTAAACGGTGTTTCCTAAATCTTTACATCCCCTGGGAAGAGGCATTTCCTCACATCTTTGGTTGGGATTTCTGACAGTTGTCAGCACGACCGCAATTTGACATTTGTTGTATGGAGGTTAATGGAAGCTGAAATTATCTCCTTCCCAGGTACGCCTCCAGTTCTCTGCCATGGGTTCTCCTTTACCCACAGCTGAACTCTGCTGCAGCCAGCAAGGCTGACGGTGATGAAGGAATGGGAAATGCTGTGTGCGAGGGGATCTCCTAAGCCCTGGGTGACATCTGCCTCATGTTTACAAATACCCGCAGAGCAGTCAGCTGGGTGAAAACAGCCCCTGCCCCAGTCAAAATAAAGCAGCCTCCCCCCGTCTTCCCCACGGTGTGATGTGGGGAGGGACACACAGCACACTCACGTCCTCGCTTCTCTCCGTTGAGTGTGACAGGCAGGAGAGATGCTGTGGGTTTTTGTAAGATCAGAGCTGTGGTCACATGCAAGGTGTTGCACCGTGGAAGGATCACTGGAGGGCTTTGCCTCTTTGCAGCCTGCCTGGTTCAGCAGAATACTAAAGGATCCTTCAAGAGCAGCAGGATTGGAGACCTCAGTTTAACCAATGTTCAGCCCAGAGAGGCTGCTGGGAGAGCCTGGGAAGCAGGGGTTCCTCATGGGGCAGCCAGCGCCTCTGCTCAGCTTGCAGCTTGCTGCCCAGGGCTCTCACCTGTAACTGTGCCTTCTGCATGCACAGCGAGATCTAACCAGCTGCCCGTTTCCTTTGCAGCCATTTTTATGACAACCCCATCCAGTTTGTTGGACAGTCTGCCTTCCAGTACTTGCCAAAGCTACACACTCTGTAAGTTCCCCAGGCAGGTCCTCAGATACACAGCCAAGGCCTGAGCCTCATGAGCAGGACCCCTCCGTGGCCTCCATGTCCTGCTTCCCAGAGGCCTCATGCCAACAGGAGGCCATGGTCCATTCTTCTGGACTGCCCCACATAACTCAGCTGAGCACCCAGAGGTGACAGCGCTTGCTTTGCGTGGTGCTAATCACCCCATGGTGCTCAGGGCCACCACTGCGTGCCGGGCACCACAGCAGCAGCTCCACATCCACCATCAGCAGCCCTGCTGCAGCACAGCGCTGGAGATCGGGGCAGAGGTGACCTCAGAACTGCTCCTCACAAGGCACAGCCAGCCTGTCGCTGCAGGAACACACACAGGCTGAAAACATCCCTCCTTGGATGCTCGTGCATCCAACAAATGCCCAGGCCTGGGAGGTGTGGCTGGGATGCCCTTCTCGCATTCCCAATGGAAATTATTATTGTTTTTAATAACGCAATTTGGGTAGAAATCCTGCCAAGAATGTCAGTGGTTGGAGGAGGTCTGAGCTTGCCAAGCCTCTCTGCAGAGCAACACTCATCCCCAGCGCGGTGCATCGGTGCCATGGGAGATGTCTGCCCGCTGCCCAGCAGCAGTGGCACACAGATGGCAGCAGCACCTCTGGGTCTGGGCCTCCCATCGCCACGTTTGGGGTGAGGGGCAGCCTGGGCCCTCAGGCAGCTGCTCCTGACCTGCTCAGTTCTGCCTCTTTCCCTGCAGGTCTCTCAACGGTGCAACGGACATCAGAGAATTCCCAGACCTAAAAGGCACCACCAGCCTAGAAGTTTTGTGAGTGGCAAATCTCTCCCTTTTACCCCACTATTTGTGCTCTGCCCTCTTCAAGGCGGTCCAGGACAACTCTCACAGTGCTGTGCAGCTCTGCCCCTCCTGGGCACAAACCTCTCTGCTTCGTTTCATCCCTGTGGCTCCTGAAAGCGGCTTTCTTCTCCGTGAGTTGCTCTCTCGGTACTGTTGAGCATGCTCTGATCTTTTGGGGTTGTTTTCTTTTTGTTTTCTTTTTTTGGATTATTTTCTTCTTTTCCTTCTGCATCTGTGAAGGAATGAGCCTTTGGCTGCGGTCTGTTGGGATCAGTGCCTGTCTGCCCGCCCCAGGACCAGCGCCGTGCAGTGCAGTGTGATGGGAACCTCTGCTGTGTTTGCCGCATCGGGGCTGGGGGCTGCATGCCCAGGGGAGCAGGCAGCAGCAGGACACAATGTCTGCAGCCCCGTGGGTCGCTGTGGGGCACAGTCTGTGAGCAGTGCTGCAATGGGGGCACAGTGAGTGCCTGCCCAGCCCTGGCTGCGCCTTGCTGCCGGGATCGGGGCACCCCACTGCCCATACATGGGATTCTGAGGCAGTGGTGGCTCTGGAGAGATCACCAGTCTGGGTGGTGGGGAACTGGGACAGCAGGGTGTGCAGCCAGCTGCCCCAACACGGCCGAGGACGCCACTGAGTTCAGTACCCAGCAGCATCTGAGTTTCTTGCATTCACCTTTAGCAGCCCAGCAGCAGTGCCCGTTTCCAAGGCAGTTTTTGGTTCTTTCTGGGTATCTCAGTGTCTCACATATGTTGTCTCTCCTGCCTCTTCCTGGGTTCGGTAGCTGGCCTTGCAGGTAGCAGAGCCCTTGCACTGGTCCCACTGACAGCACCTCTTCCCTCTCCTTTCCCCCCAGGACGCTGACCCACGCAGGCATCTGCCTCCTCCCCAGAGCCGTGTGCCAGCAGCTGCCCAACCTGCGCGTCCTGTGAGTAATGTGCATTTCTCCGTCCTGTCTGCTCTTCAGAAAAGCACCATCAGAACCCAGGCTTTCCTCTTGCCTGGCTCAGGGAGGGGTCTGGCTGTGGAACACCACCTCATGGTTCTGTACCTGTTGTGAACACACCTCCTTCTCTGCGTGCCCTATCAGCTCAGCAAGGCTTGGAGTGATGCTGAGAGGGAGAGCGTGGTTTGTCTTTAACCTGGCACCCACTGCGCCAGCACAGGAGCACACCCCTCTGTTCCCGAGGTCCCCAACCTTGTCTGCAGTCAGTGACATCTTCAGGAAGTGAGTCATGAGCCAGATTTATACAAGTTTGCAGCCTGAGGGCAAGAAGAAGGTTTGCCTCTCATCAGTCTTTACACACGTGAGCTGGAAATGAAAACAAGACTCTTCCAGGAAAGCAACAAGAGTGAAGTCTGGATCACAGAAATTGGAAATGAGAAAAACACAAAAATAGAAGAACAGCATTTGTAACTTAGCAGATCACAGTGTTTTGGCTCCAGCTGTTCCTGCAGGGAAGATCTCTCAGCTTAAGACATCTGAGCCAACTCGATGCCACCAAAATGTCCCCGCTGCCGTTGGGACACTCAGGGCTGCAGCGCCCCATGTGCTGGTCTATGTTTGCAAGTTATCAGGCTGTAAACCTTCATGTTGTCAATGCCTGCCCCTCCTTGTGACACAGCTTTTATGAGGACAGCCCACCTCGCTCCTTGTTCCTCTTTCCCCATTCATTTACTGACATTAATTGCACCGCTATCAGGGTTGGACACCTGCCTCCAAAGAGAGGCACTCACCCTTCATTTCTTCTCTCCCTAACGTCCTGTGCTGGTCTCTCCCCTACAGAGAGCTGTCACACAACAAGATCGAAGACCTGCCCAGCTTCCACCGGTGCCAGCGGCTGGAGGAGCTGTGAGTACAGAGCTCAGGGCAGAGGGGTGACGTTGGCGGCAGAGCAGCCCAGCACGGAGCTCCTGGTGCTGGGGGGGCTGAGCGCTGCGCTCCCTGCTGGGAATGCAGAGGTGTAAATGCGGGATAAGGGCGCCTTTCCCGTGCATTTTTGCCCCCTGAAATAAAAGAAGTTTCCCAGACTCGCATGACTTCCCTGCGCCAGCCTGCTGCGGTGAGGCGTGCAGCTGCCTTCAGCTGTTCCTCAGACCAGTTTCTGCTTTTCCAGGGGTCTCCAGCACAACAGAATCCACGAAATCAGAGCGGACACCTTTGTGCAGCTGACAGCCCTGCGCTCCATGTAAGCTGTGCAGTGCGGACGGCCACTCCGCTCTGCCGGTCAGGCTGCCCTTCCTTCCCTCTGCTCGCTCTCCGGTTCTGCTCCCATCTCAGTATCCTTCCCTTGCAGAGACCTGAGCTGGAATGACATCCACTTCATTCACCCCGACGCCTTCGTGACGCTGCGCTCGCTCACCAAGCTGTAAGTGGCACTGATGTTCGTTCTGCAGTGGGACGAAGCGCCCCGTGCTGCCTGGCAGGCGGTGCCTGCATGGTGCCAGCGGCAGCAGACCGAATCGCAGTGCTTCCTATTGGTGTCAAAAGTCACACAGAGCTCCCGGCACGCACATTAACCCATCACTGCCCCCATGGGCAGCAGCCCCCATCCATCAGCTCTGGATCCTGAGCCCAGGCAGCACCCAGCCCCACTGCAGCACTGCATTTCAGGCAGAAAGCATGAGGCGGCCAGCACAGCTCCCGGGTGCACTCCAGCTCTCTGCTTTCCTCCCACAGGGATCTGTCAGACAACCGGCTGGCAGTGCTGCCGCTGGGTGGATTGGGCAGCTTGACCCACCTGAAGCTGCAGGGCAACCCAGCACTCTCTGAGCCCTTTGCCGAGGACAGCTTTCCCAAATTAAGGTACTGCCTGCACCCCAGGCCCCATCTTTTCCTTCCTGCTCTCTGCGCAGTCTCTACTTGCTTCTATCAGTCAGCCTCCCCCTTTCCTGGTTTATCCCGTGCTTTCCAGGCTGACAGATTGAGGATGCTCCTTCTGCTGCCATCACACCTCATGTTTTATAGGCTTCCATGGGAAGGCAGCGCTGTGCTCCCAGGGCAAACCCACACACACAGCTGGGAAGTGTGGAGCATCTCAGGGCTCCTCTGGGGCATTCCTCCACTCACCCCACTCCTGCCTCTGGGCTGGGTTCTGGATCCTGAGCCCAGGCAGCACCCAGCCCCACTGCAGCACTGCATTTCAGGCAGAAACCCCTCAGTGATGGGCACTGAGGGAGCCCATCACCATGGGGTGATGTGGGCCTGCACTCTGTCCCACGCGGAGTCCCTTTCAGGGAACCAAAGTTGTGCTGCAGTTTGACCACTGGATGACGGATTGGCTTCTGATGCATGAACATTCAGCACAAAGTGTGGAGCAATAGGGAGCCAGAGTCACATACAAGTTCCCTTTTCCCCCTCTGCAGAGTCCTCGAGGTACCTTACGCCTACCAGTGCTGCGCCTATGGAAGCTGCAGTGGGTTCTTCAGAGCATCCAACCAGTGGGAAGCAGGAGGCGCGAGCCCTGAGGATGAAGATCCCCACAGGAGGGCCCTGGAGCTCTTCCCAGGTCACGCAGACAACCACTGTAAGTAGGCTGAGCGGGACGATGCTCTGCAGCACCGTCATGCTGGCAGTTTGGGTGTCAGCCCAGGCTTGCAGGTCAGACGCTGCCAGCCGCCTCAGAGCAGGCAGAGGGATCCTCCTCCAGCTCTGGTGAATGGGCTGTGAGTGATGTCAGCGCGTGGGAGAAAAAGTGCATCAGGCACTTCTGAACCTTCATTCACATTCTAAGAGAAAGATCCAGCGCTCTCGGAGGCACAGACGTGGCTCATTTCACTCTGCTGGCAGCAAGGTGGGACGCGGGCTTGGACACGTTGGGCAGCGCAGAGCCTCTGGAAGGATGTTTGCTGTTATCAGTGGGACACACAGAGGGTGGACCCTGAGATGGAGACAACGAGCTGAGAGGAGCGTGGACTGTGTGGGCACCCCTCATGGGAGGTAGAAAGAGAAGGAAGAGCGCGGGGGGCACAAACCCACGCAGGGCTCACAGGTGGAGCTGAACAGCACTTCCTGCTCTGCGGTTGATTTTTTCTGTTCCTCAAGTACTTCTGTACTTCTGCATCAACCCCACGGATCCTGCTGCACGTGGCCATCAGAGGGGAGCACAAAGCACAGCCCTGTGTGACCCCATTGCGAAGGAACCTCAGAACGACACAAAGAAAAGTGTGAGCTCCTCTCCCTCTTCTGTAACTGCTCCAGAGTGGAAATCGTGTTTCAGGACGCAGCTGGGAGGCTGTGCTTGTTTATACACTCACATAAACACCGAGGCCATCTGCACCACCCGGGTCTGTGTCCATTCTGCTGCCATCTGCCCTGCGCCCATCCTGCTCTTTCCCAGTGCTGGGGCTCTTTGATGACCCTGAGGATCCTGTGCCGAAACACCAATTTACCCAACCCCTCCCACGGTGCCCAGCCGGCCTCAGCACCATGGATTCCATGTGAGACTGGAGGGGAACACCGAGTGCTCGCAGGCTGTGCCAGATGAGTCTCTTAGCAGCTCATAAAGGCTCACATTTTTGGATGTTAAAGCCTTGGGTTCGCCTGAAATATCAAACCACAGCACTGCAAATGTGGAGTGAACACGAACATCCTTCCTCCTTTCCGTTCAGTAACACGTGGGCTATTTTTGATGATGAAGCTGTTGAGATATTACTGCTTTACTTAATCTATTTGTGTTTCAGCTCTTCCTTTCTGATGGTCAGCAGTGGGATTTAGCTGTGTTAGATGAATCTTGTAACAGGAGGGAAAAAGTCCTCAAACATTCCTTCCCTGTAAGAAAATGACCTTGTTACAAGAAAGTAACTCCAAAACTTTTGCTGCTTGGGGTATCATAGAATCACAGACCTATGGGATGGCTGGGTTGGAAGAGACCCTGAAGATCACAGAGCCATAAGAATGGTCGGGTTGCCTCCCATCAGCTGATGCTGGGAAGGTCTAAGTGGAGGGCAGGAGGTGGGAGAAGCTTGTGGCCCTGCTGGCCCGTTGGCCCTGCTCATTCTTCTTCAAGCACTGCTTCTCTGTTGCTTTCTTGCAGATGACCTCGAGGCAGACGAGCTCCAGCTGGACCTTGAGGACTCAAAGCTGCACCCCTCTATCCAGTGCACACCCAGCCCCGGTGAGCAGCCAGGGAAAGCCTTCCCTCTGAACATACCTGCACACCTTTGAGCATCACTGAACTCTCAGGCCCCCCAGCCCTTCCTGCAGCATCTCATGTGGAAACCACATCTGAGATCCTGGCCCAGCCCTCGAGCTGGGCTCTGTGAGAGGGACAGCTGCCTTCTCCCACTTGGAGGGAGCTGCCCTCCGATTAGGAGAGGACAAAGGCGTGGTGTCCCTGTCCTGGTATCAGCAGTATCACCCCTCCATCACCCACCCATCGCCCCGTAGTCAGGCTCTGGCACTTGAAGCAGCCGGTGCTTTCTCCTAGCCGCTCCAGACTATTGCATGGCAAAACCTTCTCCTTCATCTCCCATGGAAATCCAAATCCTTCCCAAAAGCAACTCTCCCATTTCACTGTCTCCTCTCTCCTTTCTCCTTTGGCAAAGAGCACCCACTACCTGTCCCCTTCTCACCCCTGCACGACTCCCGTCTCTCATTCCCTCCTTCCTCCACCTCAGTCCTCCATCATTCTCTCTCCTGATATCCTCCCATGTTCTCTTTGCTCAGGTCTCTCTATCCCCTCCCTGACACTGCAGCTCCCTCCCTCCTTCTCCTTGCCAGCTGTCTCCCTCCCTAACACTTCATCCTGTCCTGGCCGTCCCCTCTGCACAGAGGTCATTCATGCCAACACAATAAAACCCAGCTCAGCCAAAGCTGTGGGTTTAGGGCAGAACTGGCAGTGCACAGGGATGCAGCATGCTGCCGTCTCTCTTGCATCCCCTCTCCACAACTCTGAGATCCCTGGGGTGTGGGGGGAACAGCAGCACCTGGCAGAGGAGCCCAAATGCCAGGCTGAGCCCAGGAGCACCAATGAGGCTGGAAACCCACAGAAATGTGGGGCATTATGGCCGTGAGCTCCTCTGAAAGAAGTCCCCTTGACTTCAGGATTCAGCATAGGGCAGGGGTGGGACAGAAGAGCAAAAGGACTTTGCCATGCACAGAGTCACGGGGTGACAATGCTGGGACCTGCCCTGAGGAGCTGGGGCCGCCACTCTGAGCAGCAGCACCGGAGCAAAGCGCTGGTATGGGGTTTTAACTTTGGGTTTGGGTTTCTTCCAGGCCCCTTCAAGCCTTGTGACCACTTGTTTGAGAGCTGGATCATTCGCCTGGGCGTCTGGGTCATTGTTCTGGTCTCGGTGCTCTGCAATGGGCTGGTGGTCCTGGCTGTCTTCGCCTCTCCCAGCTACCTCTCTCCAGTCAAGTTTGTCATCGGCTCCATAGCCGGAGCCAACACGCTGAGCGGCGTTTCCTGCAGCATGCTGGCTCTCGTTGACGCCCTGACCTACGGCCACTTCGCGCAGTTCGGCGCCAGGTGGGAGAGCGGCACGGGCTGCAGGGTGACCGGCTTCCTGGCCGTGTTCTCCTCCGAAGCCGCCATCTTCCTGCTGACACTGGCTGCAGTGCAGTGCAGCGTTTCGGTCTCCTGCGCGCGGGGCTGCAGGAAGGCACCCTCCCTTGGCAAGGTGAAGGCGGCGGCGCTCGGCTGCCTCTTGCTGTCCTTCGTGGCCGCAGTTCTGCCTCTCTTCTCCATCGGGGAGTACGGAGCGTCCCCGCTGTGCCTCCCATACCCCATCCCGGGTGGGAAACCCGCCACCCTGGGCTTCACCGTGGCCTTGGCGATGACGAACGTGCTCTGCTTCCTGATGGTCACAGGCACCTACATCCGACTGTACTGCAGCCTGCTGAAGGGCGAGTGCGGCGCTGTCTGGGACTGCGCCATGGTCAAGCACGTGGCCTGGCTGATCTTCACCAACTGCCTCCTCTACTGCCCGGTGGCCTTCCTCACCTTCTCTTCCACGCTCAACCTCTTCCTCATCACCCCGGAGGTCATCAAATCAGTCCTCCTGGTGGTCCTGCCCCTGCCTGCCTGCCTGAACCCCGTGCTCTACCTGCTCTTCAACCCCCACTGCAGGGATGACCTCCGCCTGCTGCGGCAGAAAGGCCGGGACAGGGGCGGCTGCCCCCAGCCCTGCGGGCTCGACGACGTGGAGAAAATCTCCTACGACTCCACGCAGGCTCTGGTCAGCTTCTCTGACATCGACCACATATTCGAGACGTCCGATTCCCTGGGAGCGCACCCCATCCTCGACAGCTACCGCTTCCCCTCCGCGACGCTCGTGCCCTGCCAGCAAAGGATGGGCGCGGGGGGAAGGCAGCGGGGCTGCTCCGAGCTCTGCCCCTGCCTCAGTGACAGCGCCGTACTGACGGCTCCAGAGAGCGGGGAGCCGACAGCCCGCAGCCCCCGGGCCGCCTCCTGCCCCCCCCCGCCCTACGTCTCTCACGTATAGAGCTCGGAGCAGCCGTGCCCACAGCGCGGAGAGCCGGTGCCAGCGGGCTGCTCCACCTCCAGCACCAGCGCGACCCGTCTACCCCCGCCCCCCCACATACGCTGCTCGTTGCCAAGGTCCTGGAAGGGCTCTGTGGCTGCGGACGCTCCGGGCTGGCCACGGGAGGGGACCGTGTTTCCCTGCTAGGGACTGTGTGGGAGGGACCCCACCGGCTCAGGGAGACCCTCCTCTCATCGGCAGCAAAACCCAGCCCCAAGGACAGCTGAGTACACACAAGGCAGTGCTCTGCAGCAGAGACACGTGGAAGCAGCCAGCTGCAACGACACGGTCACCCATAGGTGATGGTAAACCCGGGTCCCTGCGGGCCTGCAGAGCCCTGGAAGTGGGCTTGTGTGCCCTTTACACCAGCAGCTGCAAAGGCAGAGGAGATGGGTTATGAGCAGTGTACTCGTTGGGGCTGCTAATGTCGGGTGGTTTCTGTGCTGGGAGCCTTGCTGCTGGGCAGTGCTTGCTCCTTCAGCCAGCGCCCCGGGCTGGGAATGCTATTGCTCTTTCAACCCAACAATGGGTTTCTGACCCCCAAAGCAGCCAAATCCAAACACCTCCCCCAAGAAACCCTTGTGCTTTGCCTGTAGTCACCTGGCCAGTGTGCCTGGGGGGACACGGGCCTCCCCCCACTCACAGAGCTCTCCACCTTCACACCTCCTGCCCAGAGCTGCCAGATTCCATGGGGAATGGTGGGGACGGGTCTGGCTCATTCCCTGCCCCCAAATCTCACCCTGTAACAGGCTCTCACTTCAGGAGCACGTGTCCCCCCCATAGAAGAGCCCATGTGGGGGCTGTGCTTGCCCCCCCCCTTTGTGAGGACAGCTCACATAGAAGGGAACAGAAATCAGCTTTGTGGGATGGCAATGTCACGAGGACACAGACCGCTGTGAATGGTCCTGAATTCTCTCCCCATGGCTCAGGGATCTCCCAGATCCATTCTCCCATCACAACCCACCACCACCACCTGCCACCCGCGGTCAGCTCTGGGTCAGCTCTGGGCAAAGCTTAAGTCCTGCCAGTGTTACCACAGCTGTATCAGCCATCCATCCCTGTGAGATAATAAAGGAGCCCCGCTGCTGACCAGTGGCTGCTTTCTGACCTCTTGCGTTGTGCCCTCTTGGTTCGCCCTGCGGCTGCCTGCCGCTTCCGCCTGGGGAAAAGTCTAATTGTGTGTGTTGTTGTGTGTTTTTTGTTTTCCCTCCTGCACTTCTTTCCAACTAAATCAATCAATTAAAATAACTGTTTTCCTCTTCCCCCTCCTCCCTTTCTTTACACTTTGGTAGTTTTTGTTACGGGAGGAATTTGAAAGCAAGAGAACATTGTCCTCTTCTGGACGTTTCCAGAAATGGTAGCGAGGCAGGAGGGAGCTCAGCTGCGAGGGAACTCAACCCATCTCTCCCTGCCACCACGCCTCAGCGTCGCCCAACGCCCATTAAGCGTCAAGGGAGAACTGACCCGGTGCTGAGCTTCCGTATATTGGAAGAGGATGCGTTTTTGCTTTGAGCCCCCTTTGGGATTTTACCCGTGCGGATGATTTTACTGAAGATACGGACACAAATATTTGAGCGAACGTTTGTAACTTTGATACCACAGACTTCAACAGCTCGCAGGCGTTAAGGCAGCAAAACCCACCGCACCGCACCGGAAACGGGGGCGGCCCCAGACGGAAGTGACAGCCCCGCCCCGCCCCACTTCCGGCGCGAGGCCGCGGTGGGCGGGGCCGCGCTCACTCTGCGCCTGCGCACAGCTTCGCCGCCGTTCGCTCCAGCGGGCGGAAGCGGGTGTAAGTGAAGCCGCGACGGGCGCCATCTTGGTTACGGGGGTACCCAGGTACCCGTATGTCGGACGCCATCTTTGACGCTGGCAGTAGGGGAAAGGCGACGGCCCGAGCGGCGGCCCCAGCGGAGCGGGGAGATAGAGCGGCGGCCGCGGTCCCTGGGGTTCGGTAAAGTCCCTGCTCGCCGGTAACTATAGCCGCTCGTAGACCGCAGGGGGCGGGGAAAGGCCTCCGCCCGGCCCGGGTTCCCTCCGCTCCCGTCGGGGGAAGCAGGCCGCGTCGCGGCCGGTACCGCCAGGCCCCGAGCCTCCCGCGCGGGCGCCCTTCGCCGCCGGGCGGTGCGGTGCGGCGTTCCTCGGCTCCCCGGGCCGAGCGGCTCCCCCTGGGTTCCTCTCAGCTCAGGCCGGGTTCCTCTCGGCCCCGCGCTGCTCCTCGCCCTGCCCGGCCCCGCGCATCGCCGTTCCCACGGGCTCGGTGCGTCCGGAGAGGCAGAGCGCGTTCGGGAGGGCCGTTGATTAGACTGGAAATCCCGCCTCTGGCCCTGCGGAGTTACGGCGTCGTGCCTTCCTTTAGCAGCAGTGCCTGTGGGGAATGTGCTGTGATTGACAGATCGCCCCTCCGTTCCCCGTAGAGCTTCAGGGTCCGACTAACTCTGGGTGCACTCGGTTGTCATCGTAATTTCTCCTTTAGTTTGCTTAAAACCAAACTTTTGTGTTTGTTTCTTAAAGATTGGGATTAAGAGGTGCCTGTTTCCTCCGGTTTGGTAAAGGGCAGGAGTGATGTGTGAGATGACCTCACAGAACCACTGCAGAGGTGGGAATGTTCGGCTCCTTAGCAGACCTGAGCTCTGAGCTGTGGGCCTTTCTTGGGAAGTGCAGCTCTGTGTTATTTCATCCTAAAAAAACGAAGATATTCTGAGGATAGTTGGCTTGAAAGCCCATGTCAGAACCACCACTGTGCTGTGTGTGAATTGGACAGGCCTCGGGCTGAGCAGCTGAGTTGGGTTGGTTGCCAGGTGGTGGCTGGAAGGTGCGTCAGCACAAAGGTTTGTCTGGGGCAGAGTTCCTCCTGCTCTCCCTTCCCTCTCAAATGGCTGTTTCCAGGGGAAATGGGTTATTTTTTGAGACTTCGTACAGTGTTTCAGTGAGGATGATGAATCATCCTTACTCTCTTAGTAAATTGCTGCCAAAGCCCAGCAGTGATTTCAGAAATAAAAAAGGAATGAGTGTGTTCTCTCCCCTTAGAGAAGCAGCAGCTTTGTAGTACCCTTCATCTGGAAGAGGTTCCCAGTGCCTGGTCAGGCACTAAGAAGGAAAGGGACAGAGAACCACTCAATATCAGCGTAGAGAAAAAAAGGAGTTATGGACTAAGAGAGAGAGGAACTCCATTAAAAATTGGTACTCTCTAAAAATCTGTTGAGGGCTGGGATTTGCAGGTCCTGCCTCCACGTGGTGTGTTGTGCCTGGTGTTGCTGCACAAGATGGGGGGCAGGACTTCATTGAACGGGCTGTGTTACAGCTCTCATTGTTACCTGGAAGAAGAGCAAAGACTGCAAGGTGTGAGCCCAGAGCACCTGGAAAAGACAGGGAGTTTTCTTCACGAAAGCAATGCTTTCAGAAGTGCTTTTGCAGAAATTCAGACAAACGCTTCTGTTGCCTGACGCTTCTCTTTGCCCCCAGCACAATGGAGTGCTGCCTTTCCTGCTCCTCTCTGTGAGGTTGCTGTGCTGTGAATCTGCTGCAGGGTGAGCGGCAGCAGAGTCTTTGCAAGGGAAATACTTGGTGCTGTAGGTAAACAACAACAAATACAGCTGGGTAAACGTGGTCATCTTCCTCTGACATATTAGTTGAAGCACAGAAAAATCCTCCTCCCTTCATGCTGTTCTCTGCAGGACAGCAAACTGGAAAGCAAGAGTGGGGAATAGATGGTGGTGTTTGGTGCTCAGAAAGGCAAGATGCAAAAGAAACGAGCTGCTTCCTTTGTGCTACCTGTCTTCTTTTGGCAAGGGCTGCTCTGTGTCTGTCTGTCTGTGCACTGAGTCCCGGCTGCTGTGACCTCAGTGTAGCTGGAATTCTTTTGTACGGAACAAGCTTGAAATCTCTTGGTATAAAAACTTGGCTGGCGTTCTGGAGGAGAAAGGCAGTCTTTAAAAAGGTGAAGCAGACTGCTGAGATGTGCTGAGTGCTCCAGAGTTACTCGCTGTGCGCAGGCTCCCAGGGCGCAGCGCTTTGGTCTGTCGTGCTGACAGGTGTTGTTTGGGGTCACCTGCTATAAAATTGAAGGGCTTGCAGGGAGCACAGGGCTGTGGGATATTTCTAGGTGTGTTTTCTTCCTGCTCCCGAGTCCAGATCCCTTCCAATTGCGAGCAGAACCAAAGGCCGTGAGTGCAGTGCTGAGCTGTGTGTGCCACAGAGCAGAAGCCAGAGACGTGTTTGTGCCCAGCTCCGTGCTGAGGCTGTTAGGAGCAGGTGTGTGTGGGCATCTGCGCCAGATGATCTGGTTGTGAAGGTGCTAAAGGTCAGAAGGGAGCGCTGCTGTTGGAGAAGGAATCTTTGCCCTTAACTGCTGTTTTTATTCCCTTTGTCACGCAGTCGAGCCAGCAACTAACGTGAGAACCCGACTTCTCCTCTCTTTATTTTAGATTTGGGAAAATTCCCTGCCAAAAAAAATATTTCCTGGAAAATTCCCTAGTGTTTGTGTGAGTAAAAGGTTCCAACCTTTCCTTATTGATTGTCGGAAATCCTTTGCACAGAAACGTGCAGCACTTTAACGAAAGAGTTCAGAATCACTTTAATTTGAACTTCCGTCTGGCCTGGTTGCAGGTTTTACGGCATTTAATATCTTTAAAACAAGTGAAATGTCAAAGCGTTCGATTTCACAGCAGAAAAAAGCCAACCCAGCCCAAGCCCTTCTTGAGGCTGGGCAAAACGCGCTGCAGCCGAGCCGGGCCGCTTTCCCAGCGCTGCGAGCGACGGCTGCGCGGCGAGGGAGCGGCACGTGGCGAACGTGCAGCGCCCTGCGGCGCAGAACCGACCCGCACAAAGCCGGCCGATTGAAGATGCTCCGTACCGTGCAGCCACGCCGTTCGCAAAGCGAGGCTTCCCCGCCTCGCCGCTCTGTTCGCTCCGCCCGCTCGCTGCCCTTCCCTCGCGCCGCCTGCATGCGCCCTGTGCGCTGCCCCAGCCGCCGCCCCCCAGGCGCTTCCCGCCGGCCGCGGTGCGCTCCTCTGCCCGTGCGCGGCTCCCCGCCCCCCCCCCCCGCTCTCGCTGCCGCTCCCGCCCGCTGTGTTTGTGTGTCGATGCGCACTGGCATGCTTGTGCTGTACAGGTAATAAAGACGGGGGAAGGTTTTTGTGTTTTCTTAATAGGTGAAGAAATCTTGAAGACCAGAAATTCCAACTTACAGAATTTTAAATTTTAAAAATGTGATAGAATTAAAACAAAAATTGCCCGGCTGTGGAAGACGGAGCCTCATTTTTGCAGCCGCTTTGATCACGAGTTCGCCTTTAAGTGCGCTGGGTTTTTTCTTTTTCTTTTTTTTTTCCCTTTTTTCCTTTTTTCTCCTCGAAGAGCTCACTAACCCTGGCTGCCTCCGCTCTGAGAGCATTCCAATGGACTCGCTTCCTCCATTAGTTGTAAGATGTTTAAGAGCACATCCCGTGTTTGACTTGTGGATGAGAGGTTCCCTTGGCAAAGTGAGGAGGAAAATTCTTTCTACCCCTTTATTATTAATTCACGGATTCAGTGTTGGTTCGGCCTACAGGAGAAGTTAACTGGAAGGCTTTGAAGATCGCTGTCTTTGCTGAGGTTGTCCAGGTGGGTGAGCTCGAGGGTCTGCAGCGGTCGGACGGAGTTGCTGGGGGTTACAGACTGACTGACAGCCGCGGTGGTGAAGGAGGGGCTCAGTTTGGGGGCTGGCAGTTGAGCACTTGAGTCAGGGCGCTGTGACTGCAGTGCTGAGGAGGGCGATGTTCTGAAACGGCTGCTTCCGAGAGACTAACTTGATGAACAGAAGAAAGCTGGAAAGATGTGCATTCCTCATGATTTTCCACTTGTTGGTATTTTGCTTAGGGTTCCTTTTAAAAAGAAGATTTTGCTGATCCAGGCAGTAGAAGACGTTCAGTCCGAGGAAGCACGAGCCAACTCTTAGAGCACAGGGGACTGCAAGAGATCCTTGGGACAGAGCTGCTTCCAAGAGCTCGCCCAGCATGTCGAAGCAAGGAGATGATTGCTATTTCTACTTCTATTCCACCTGTAACAAGGTCTGCTTCTTTTCCTTCATTTTCCTTTCTTTTAGTTCTTAAGAGGACGGAGTGGAGTAGAGGCATGACTGATCTTTGGAGGACTTAGCAGCTGATTGCACTGCGGCCAGCTGTCAGGCTGCACTTTTTCATTTTCCTCTCTTTGTTTCCATTGGGTCACAGGGAGACAGCTGTCCCTTCCGGCACTGCGAAGCTGCTCTGGGCAACGAAACCATCTGCACGCTGTGGAAGGAGGGCCGCTGCTTCAGGAATGTCTGCAGGTTCAGGCACATGGAGATCGATGTGAGTGCTGGCTCCTCAGAATCCGTCACCAAACCCACCTCCCGTTGCTTTAGCTGGGCTGAATGGGCTTTTGCAGATCAGATCCACTTGCTTCGAAATGATGGTGGTTCCTGCTGTCAAGAGGGGGCTGGGAGGAAGTAGAGGGAAGAGAACTCGATGTCCTTGGTATTTCTTAGCAGGAAATCCTTGTAGTAGACACCAACAGCATCCTCTCAGCAGATGCTAAAGAGCCCCATCGATCAGAGAGGCGTTGTGCTGGGGGCATTGTTCAGCCCCTTCTGCACTGCTGTCCTCTCCCATGCGATGCTGGGAGCTCTGAGCCCCGCGCTCACAGCTGTGCACCCTTCAGAGTGGGGTTTGAGTGCTGCTGGGTGACAGCTGGCTCAGTGCTGTGCTCTGGAGCTCAGTCTCCCTCTGCAAACCTCAGGTGCTCGTTGCCATCAGCTTTTCTTCCTTTGTATCTTCAGAAGAAGCGCAGTGAGATCCCCTGCTTCTGGGAGAACCAGCCGGGAGGCTGCCAGAAATCCAACTGTGCCTTTCATCACACCAAGGGGCGTTACGTCGATGGGCTCTTCTTACCACCAAGCAAAAGTGAGTTTGTCTTTCCTGACTATGAAGGATCAACTCTGGCTGTTGGGTGTGGTGTTGTGGAGCCGCCATCTGACACTCGTTTGTGAGTGCAGGAGGAAGTGCACTGATGGGGGCACGGCTGAACTGCGTGTGCTTCTGACATTTTGGTTTTTTCTTTCATGCTCAGCTTCTCTCTGCTCCTGTGGCCGTTCCCTTGCAGGTTGTTTTCCTGCATTTAAGCTTTTACTGCTGTTAGGGAGGTGAATCTTGGGGGGGGGGGGAGGGGGAGGGATGGGGATTCTTTGTTGACAGAGCAGCCAGTCACTGGATGGCAACTGGAGACTCAACTCTTCCTGTGCAGGTTGTCAGCCTGCCTGCCATCTTTGTGCAGAGGCTGTGGGTTGGGGTCAAAGCTTTAAATTCCTGGTGCTCCTCTCCTTCCTGCAGCCACGCTGCCGAGTCCGCCGGAGTCTGCAGATGATGATCTGAAGGCAGCTCAGATAACACTGCAGCAGAGCAAGCTTTCTGTGCAGTCCAACCCCTCTCCACAGTTGAGGGGAGTGATGAAAGTGGAAAACTCAGAAAATGTGCCAAGCCCTACGCACCCTCCAGTTGTAATCAATGCTGCAGACGATGATGAAGATGATGATGGTGAGTGTGGTTGCTGCTGCTTTTGATCTTGAAGGTGTCTGTGTTCTGTGACTCGTAGAACACCTGCGGGCTGATGAGGATGGGGCAGCAGCCTGGCAGCAGTGAGCAGGAATTGTAATGCAGGAGGGAAGCTCAGAGCCACTCCTGCTGCTGGTCTGCAGTGTGGATCTCAGGGGAGAGTTTTCTCTGTTTGGTCAGGAGAGTAACAGAGCATGCACTGGTTAAAGCCATGTGGAGAGTCTGGAGCTCCAGATGCTTTTTCCAGCTCCCCACTAGTTGTTCTGTTTGCTTAGGCTGCTTCTTTGTGTTCACCAGGTCAGTACAGCTGCTGAAATCAGGAGCCCTTCTGTAATCATTTATGTTTGTACTTAAGAATATTAAGTGTGGGCTGAAGTGTCATTGTGTGAGCTGCAGAAACGTTAGAAATCTGGTTGAATTTCATTGCGTAACTGAAGAGGCTGACTCTCTATCCCTGTGCAGACCAGCTTTCTGAGGAGGGAGAAGAAACAAAAACACCTGTCCAGCAACCAGCTGAGGAAAACCATAACGGATTGCGGATAATTTCCACCAGGAAATCTAATGCTGATACAAAACAAGGTACTCCAGCACAGTGGTAGGGTGAATCAGAAGAACCTGCCGATTATTGTGCAAACACAGCAGAGCACAGGGCTGCTGAGTGGACCCAGCTATTTCCCTGGTCTTGTTCCTACCTCGTAATTTCGCGTGCCTTTCAGGTTGGAAAGGTAAACTGCTTTGTTTGCTTCGTTAGGCAGGGCCACAGCACGGGGTTTAAGCGTCTCTGTGTGCATCTCTTCAGCCACTGGTGAAAGCCACACTGCTGGTAGAGAAATCCAAAGTCACGTAGATGGGTTAAAATCAGGGGTGAAGCTTACTTTTTGTGTCCTGAAGGCTGAAAGAGGGCAGCAGCAGACATCAGTTCCATGGTGCTCTGCCCCGTGGGGGAGCTGGCAGGGTTTGTGATGGATGTTCTGAGCACGAGGCAGCTGGCAGAGCCCCTCAGTGCGTCCCTCTGCCCCTCGGCCTCATTCGCCGCTTTGTGTTCCCAGATGACACCTTGAATTTTGGAATAAAAACGCTGGAAGAAATCAAATTGAAGAAGCAAAAGGAAAAAACAAAAAAACAGAGCGGTGAGTTGATATGCCCTACTTTGTTATCCTTCTGTTTGTTTTCTTCCCTTTTTTTTCCCTTCTGATGATACCTGCATAGCTGGCGATGTGTTGGAATGGAGCCATTCATGGAAGGGAACCTTTTTCTTGCACTGCTGAGTTTGCAGTAGCAGTTGCTGGTGGCTGGGAGCTGCACGAGAGACAGGCTTCCATTTTTAGCTGGGGGTATCAAGCTACTTCAGCATGCAATGTGTTGTTTTAAATGCAGACAGCTGCTCTTCTAGATGGGAATTCCAAGAGCAGATTGGAGGCAAATTGTTCACCTCTTGTTTACATGCACTGCTGTTGCATATTTGGCAGTAACAAGTAATGAATGCGTTTTGGTCTTTGTGATGGTTCTGTCAGGTGTGTTTCTGTTGTTGGCAGTGGCTTTTCTCTTCTGTAAACACTTTGCTCCCTTTGATCAGAAGGGCCTTCAGGAGTTCCTGCTCATCCGCTCCAATCTCGGGCCGTTCCTGTGCCAGAGAAGGAGAACGTGAGGACAGTGGTCAGAACTGTGACACTGTCTGCAAAGCAAGGTAATGATGAGTACCTCTGTTTCCATTTCGTGGCTGCTGAATGGAATGGATAGATAACAGTTAAGGTAGCTGGGCTGTGTTGGTCTGCTGCTGTTGCTTTTTTGTATCCAAAAGATGCTTTTATATCAGGAGTCTCTGGTTGTTGGAAGGTTGGCACTGTAGCTGCTCTGTTCTGTAGTAGTAAGGGATCACAGAGCAACTCCTGTGAGCGCCGTGGTGAGCTCTGTGTTACTGCTGAGCTGCAACTCCCAGAGGAGCTGACCTGTGCCTGCTGTGCTCCTGACCCCAGTGGTGTTTGTTAATGAGCTGACAGCAGGGGCAGATTAGAGCTCAGTGAAGTTCAGCAGCAGGCTAACGGTGCAGCAATGGTCAGTGTGCAGCTCAGGAGCCACCTGAGAGCAGAGCAACTCAGAAATGAGAGGAAAGAGCCCCAGGAGGCCGTGCTACACCACCGAGGAATTCAAAGAGAGGAATGAAGCAACTGAGGTTTCTGAGTGCGTTACGCTGGCAATATTATTTTGTGTCAAGGCTGTCAAAAGTGTCTTTGGGGTGGTGGTGGTGCTTTCTTTGTGGGAAATGAGCTAACAGGGCAGTAAGTCTGTAGGCTGCTGGTCACTGCGAAATAAGCAGATTGCCCTTTGTTGTAGGGGAGGAGCCTGTGGTTCGACTGAGTATTGCTGAGAAACCTGGAAAACGGAAAGCCTCTGTTGGTAAGGGCTGCTTGGGGGCTGTGTTTGGTGCCTCCTCTGAACGTGGCTGCGGCGGGGGGCGTTGCTGAAGTGTGAGGGGGGAAGCGTGTCGTGGATCTGTGCTCACTGTACAAATGGTACAAAACCGTAGCAGCTGAAAGGTGAATTTGAGAAATTGCACTTGGAGAAATTGAAGCTTGTGGTTGACTGCTCTAAAACCTTCCTCCCAAGAAATTATCTTAGGAGTGTTGTTGTTTTCTCTGCAGCTGATGTCAGTGGCCTCCCGCTGAAGCGCAGCCTTGCAGAAAGGCTGGGGAAGAAGATTGAGGTTGACAAAGCACCAAGGAGAGGTAAATGAGCATCTGGGTTTGCTGCACAGGCTCCTGCAGGCTTTCTGCTCTTCCCTGGCAGTGCTCTCTGCTGCTTCCTGAGGTCATCACCACTGGGGTTTGCAGTTATTTTTCCTGCCCTGTTTTGAGACGTGAGCCCAGAGCTGGAATTTACGCAGCATCCCTGGTTGGTTCTGTTCTGTAGTTCGAGGCATGGAGTCTCTGAAGGAGAGACTGGGACAGACTAGTGCTCAAATGGGTAACGACTAGGAATTTTTTCCCCTTTTTCCTTTTAACGAACTTAGACCACTTCCATAGAGCCCTAAACATTAATTTGAAAGGGGGAAAAAAAGGGGCTGGTTTTCAAAGTAGGACAGGTGGCTTAGAAAGCTGCAGCGCAGAGGGAAGCTGTGCTGAGATGCGTTGTTGTGAGCGCTCACATCCCATAATGTGACAAATTTTGGAGACTTAAGCTCTCTTTGGACTCTTTTAATCCTTGTGCTTCTCCTTGCTTGGTGATGACAGAGAAGGGTGCCAAGCCAGCAGCAGAGATCCACGTGAAAACGCTGGAGGAGATCCGTCTGGAGAGAGCTAACCAGCGGGGAGAAAGCCCAGCTGCCCCCCAGGCAGAGAGCTGCTGCAGGGCGGAGGATCCCAGCGCAGGGGGGAGGCCGCCCCCTGCAGGTCGCATCAAAACCTTCTCGGAAGCCCTGGCTGAAAGGAAACACAAGCGACTGGAAGAAGAGAAACAAAAAGGAGAGGAGTTGCTCACTGAGAAGAGAGCTGAGGGCGAGCGCAGGAAGCAGAGAATTCTGCCTCCATCGGTGCCTGGTAAAGTGAAATTGGAAGAGCCAGCACGTAAAATCAAGCCTTTGGAAGAAGTGCATATTAAAACCTTGGAAGAAATCAAGCAGGAGAAAGCTCTGCGGATGCAGCAGAGCGGGGAAAACGTTTCAGCTGCAGCAGCACAGCCTGGGCCTCCCCCTGCAGGGAGGAAGCTGTTGCGGATCACAAAGCTAGCAGGTAACGAGGTGCTTCTCTGTCTGCTTCCCTGTCAAGCAAATGAAGTTTGCTTAGAATTCCCATGGCTTTTTTTTTTTTTTTTTCTTTCAACAAAATGCAAACTTGGCTGCCTTTATCCACATCCATGTATTTTTCCACTGAATCCATGGTGTCTGCCTGCATTTCCGTCTGGAAAATCGACTCGTGTGAGGCTTTGTGGTTCAGTTTCTCTTGTACTTTTTTCCTGCCATCTGTTTTTGGTGTGGAGTGCAGGGTTACCTTCATCTCTGAAGGTGTTGCTGAGTATGTAGACGTGTTTGTAAAGCGTGGGGCCAACCTCTGTCAGGGGGGAGTTGTTGGTTGGGGAGTGACAGAGGCTTTGTGAAGAGAAGTGCAGGAAGGAGGTGAGAGCTCATATGCTGCATGGGCTGCGTGGTGTTGCCTCTCTGTGCCTCGCTCTGTGTGTGAGGAAACAAGCACACGGAGGAGACGTGGGCACTCGGGTTTCTTTATATGCTTGCTGTTGACCAAGTTATTTTTTTGTTTGTTTTAAAGCACCTGGAAGAGAAGAGAAGAAGGCTGTGGAATTGAGCAGGGCTTCTCCCAGAGCTGTTTCTGCCCCTGCAGAGGTGAGTCCCTTCTGAACATGGACACACTGACGCCATTCCTTGCCATGTTGTTCTTGCTGCTCACCTGTGCCGCCGTCCTGAGCGCGTTCCCACCTTCGTGCTTTGGTGAAGAGCTGCAGCAGAGTTTCAGTCCTGCCATTTCAATAGGTTTTGCAGGCAGCATTGTCCTCAAACTCTGAGTTAATCTGGTTGTACTGGCAGTGAGGCTGTAACCCTGCTGGCACCGGGTGCAACTTGTGAGGCTGATGAGGAGGGCACTGGGTACAAAAGTGTTCGAGGAACACAGCGTGCGGGTGAATGCTGCATGGGGGAACAGGAGTGACTTTCTGTTGCTCAAGAAGAATGTGGTAGCTACCAGCTACAGCACTGTGCTGATGGGAGCTCGCTTTGCTGTGAATTGTGCAGTTCTGAAACTGTTTTCACAGCAAAGCTTGGGTCTTGTTACGGGCAGACGTTTACAGAAGGAAACGTCAGTGACCGAGTGACAGTAATGCGCTGTTGGGGCCATCCTGGAAATATTGCCCATCTGATTTTCTCAGTGCATCCTCCCTGGTGTTCTTATTTTGCACGTTGTTTCTTTGTAGCCCTCGGATCAGAGCACACCAAATTCTAAAGCTCAAGTGAAGAGCCTTGAGGGGACAATAAAGGAGAAGCCGCAGCTGAGACAACCGGACAAGCTGAAGAAGGAAGTGGCTGCTGTGCCACCTGCTGCTGAAGAGACAGTCAAAGGTAAAAGTCCAGGGCGTAGCAGCCCTGAATCCACCTTGGCTTCAGGGTCAGCTTAACAGCTTGCAAAGGCATAGGTGAAATCTCAGAAAGATGGGAGACTGTATTGCCAGGGAAACCACCAGAGCAACCTCAGCAACAGAGAACTGAGCGTGGGGTGCAGTGGTCCTTGGAAGTGAAGGGACACGAGGACAGATCTCACGGTGGGCGCGCGCCATTGCTCCCTGCTGGGAGGGGAGGTGCTTACTTTCATAGTTCACTGCGTTCCTTCCAGCCAGGCTTCAGCTTGAGAATGGGAGAGAGACAGTGGCACTGAACTGCAGACGTGATGAACAGCTGAGTGCGTTTTGAGGGTCTGCTGGGGCTTGCACAGCGTCTGGTCCCACTCTCATGTCTGCTGTCACTGCTGCTTTTTCCTTTCAGTAGAGGGAGCGAGGCTTTAAGTACAGAAGTCCGTGTCTGTGAATTCCATTGGACTTCAGAGTGTCTTAGAAAAGTATTGCTTTCTCTGGGATTGCTGTATGGTTGCTTCCCTTGTCCTGGGTTGTTGGGTGGAGCTGTGCGGTTTCTTTGTTCCTTTGGTCGGACTGCTGGTAGGCAGGGTTGGCTTTGTGAAAGATTGCTGAGAGCTGAGGAAAGAGCAGTGCAGCTTTGCTGGCCAGATATATTTAAGTGTGCATGAGGGCTGTGGGAATGACAGCAGAGCTGGGCTTCTCTCGAGGCACGGCTGCAGCAGCTCTCTTCCTCTTACTGCAGCCAAGTGCAAGGCGAGCGCGAAGCCTGCAGACGGCAAAGCCGGCGCCCCCTCGAAGCGGGCGCTGAAGAGGAAGGCGGCTGAGATCTCTCCCTCTGCTGTGGCAGCCGTGAAACCTCTGAGTAGTGCTGGAAGTGAGGAGCCTCCAGCTAAAAAAGCAGCTCTGGTAAGGAGGGGGAGCGTCAGTCTGAGGCGCAGCTGCTGTAGGAAGCGGAGGGCCGGGATGTTCTGCAGGACCCCCTGCAAAGCGGTCGCTGTGCGGATGGGTGGCGCGGCGCCCTGCAGTGCTGTGACTCCTGGTGTGCAGGACTTGGTGGTTCGTGCTGTGCTGCTCCAAAGCCGAGGTGCTGCGCAGCTGTGTGTGCAGCTGACATCCTTCAGGAGCTGGGCTGGGTTCAGGCTCAGCAGTGCTGAAGGAGAAGCGCTGCAGGGGAAGCTCTCCTGAGGAATCGTTCACTTTGCCTTGCTTCTTTCCAGACTGCTGCTCCAGCCCTGCCTGACGACAGCCTGCTCACCAAGCCTGGCGCAGAGAAACCCCCCAGCAGGTGATGAGCACAGCTTCTTTGTTTCTTAAGCGGTTTGTCTTTCCGTGAGCCGTGAGTTCTTCCGTGTGTGGGAAGGATGGTGGGGTTGAACCGCAAAAGAAAAATAATCTCACATAATTTTCTGGCAGCTAGCAGAGATGTTTACCTAGATGATTTTCTTGAAATGCTGCAAGTTGGTTCAGCTCTCCAGTGTGTTCTTGGGTTTCTGAATGCCCGAGTGACCCTGAGCTGAGGTGTGAGTTGTCCTGCACGTGTTGGTCCTCGAGAACACCACTCAGCTGACAACACTAAGACAGATCTTGTGAGGGAGCACAGAGGTGGTGGATGGAAGTTCAGCTCCTTGGACTCGAGAGCAGCCTGCTGAGCACACTGGGCAAAGGAACCAAATGAGTGAACAGGTGTTTGCAGAGGTTGCCTTAACGCTTTTCCAGTCGGCCTAATGAAGGAGGTAGAGCATCTCTGCTACAGAAGAGGAGCTGTGTTTGCTGGCCCTCGGTGTTCTTGCAGATAAATCCCCACGCTGAAAAACAGCCTTGTTGGCACGTGGGCTCTGCAGGCAGTCTGGGTTACCGGCTGGCAACGCCTGTGTTTGAGGTGCAGGAGGAGTAACTGGGTGTGAGTGCTGGTCAGCAGAAAATGCCTCCAGCTGAGAAATGCTGTGTAATGTTGTTCTCTTCCTTGTTCTCCCAAGCCTTGAACTGCATCGGGGGAGCCAAGCAGACCATGGGGAGCAGTCGGAGCACTCGAGTGCAGCTTCAGCTTCTTCCCAGTCGGCGGCCAAAGCGCAGCAGCTGAGCTCCACGGGGGCTGGGAAGGCGCCCTTGTCTGTGGAGGATGACTTTGAAAAGCTGATCTGGGAAATCTCAGGAGGGAAACTGGAAGCAGAAATTGACTTGGACCCGGGGAAGGATGAGGATGACCTCCTTCTTGAACTTTCTGAGATGATTGACAGTTGAACTGCAGTCTTATGGTATATAAAAAAAAATTAAAACTTTTTTTTTTTTTTTTTCTCATTGGATACCCCGGGGTGATACTTTTTCTGAAGGAGGCTTCACCGTGAGTCTTAAAGCACAGTTGAACTGGTAGAAATTGGCAGCCTGCATTCCGTTGTCCTGAGTTTTCCTGCTGGTCAGAGCTGAGGTCCTGCGCGTCCATTCCCTGATCCTGGTTGGCTCCTGTCAGCAGCAAGAGGAGAAAGCAGCTCTGACTCAGCCCTGAGGGCGTCCAGCTGTGCGCTGCGCTGGCTGCGAATTGGTCTGATCCAGGGATGCTCTGAAGGCTTAAAGCTGAAGCTTCTTCCTTCCTCCTCCCTTGGCCGCGCTCAGCGTGGGGAGCAGCTGGAAGCTTTGCTGTTCCTGTTTCTTGGGAGCTGCCGTGTCTCTGGAGTTCTGCCGGCTCTTGTTCCGTTGGTGTTTGCTTTTGTTTTGACTTGGATCCCTCAAGGCAACTTCGTGACGGCGGAGGGCTGGGAGGGAGCAGAATTATTCTGGTGTTTTGGACCAAACGTGCCACCGAGGCTGGGGGCTCCGCGCTGCCTCCCGGTTCTCAGCAGCGATGCGGCATCAGTGTGAGAAGGAGCCGCGCTGCAGTGCGTTGCTCTCACCCCCTTTTTTTTAATCGTACTTCGGACGCGTTCTGGTCGGAGCCGGGTGCCGGGGCGAGCGGCCTGCGTTCCTCTGCTCCGCGGCAGGCGGGGCTGTCGAGGATCGGCGGCGGCGCCTCTGGGCTCCCGGAGCTCCCTGCGCTGGGGCCGGAGCTGCTGCGGCACCGGGCGCTGTGCGAGGGCAGCGGGGAGCGGCGCGCGGCTGTGGCCCTGCGGGACGGCTGTGCTGCTGCCCCGCTCTGCTCCGTGTTTTCTCTCGCAGATAACTTCGGGATTATTTTCTTAACTTGTAGCAGAACTTCAGGCTTTTCCTACTGTGACGTGTGATGCCGCAGGGGCTCCCAGGCGTTTGCTGCCGGCAGAGGCGTTTATTGTAAATACTTCATTTCTGTGCTGTGCCGCCCCGCAGCGATGCTCGGCTCAGGTGAGCGGAGCGCAGCCGGCCGGGCCGCTGGGGGCAGCGCTGTGGGCGCCGTGCAGCCCTGGGCCGGCTGAAGGATGCCGTGATTCAGCAGAAGATTTTGTGATTTTCTGCTGTCAGCCTTCGCCTCTGGGTGGGACTCTGCCCGTTTTGTGTATGCCGTTATTGTTACTGTAAATATTTTATCTTTCATTTTATATTTGCCTTCTATTTAAGATATTGTATGAACGTAGTCAGGCTCCTCTGTTTGCGCCAGCGGCTCCCGGCTGTTTTTAAATAAAGCTGGCACAGGACAGCAGTGCTGTACGTCTGTCTGCGGCTCTCAGGTGGAGCAGGATGGTGCTCATCCACCCTCCCATCGCTTTCTGATTTCCCAGCAGCGCTGCTGCCACCGGGTTACTGCCATCATTGCTCCATGGAAAGGAACGAGCTCGAACAGCACCCCTCACTTATTTGGTCCTAAAGCCTTCAGCTGCTATTCTGTGCAGTGTGAATCTCTGAGAGGGAGGCTGGGAGCTGGGAGGGATTCCCAGAGCTGTGCTGCTGAGAGCAGCGCCGGGCAGCCCAGCATGCTCAGGACCGCAGCCAGGTGAGGCTTGCAGTTGAGTTATGGGTGGGTGTGCAGCTGATCACCGCTCATCCTCCCCCCTCACAACCCCCCGTGTCCTGCAGTGCCCCATTCTCAGCCCGTCACACCACTGCAGTGTGCAGTAAACCTTTATTGCCCCCCGAAGAGATCCTCATTGTACACCACCTGCGCCCGCTTGTCGCGGTGGGAGCCCTTCGCGCTGTTCTTCACCGCTGTGGAGGCACAGGAGGGGGGCAGGGACTCAGCGCTGCTGGCACCCCCATGTCCCTGTGCCCCCCGGTGCCCCCCCAGCTCACCCAGGGATCCCCACAGCGATTTCCCGGTGGCAGCGTCGAGCAGCGGCTGTTTGCGGGCGATGCTGACACGGAGCTGCACGTCCTGCACCACGGCGCCGTTCAGCTGCGGGGGCACCGGGGGGGTCAGCGCTTGGGAGCACCCCACGTGTCCCCCCCACAGCTCCCGCACGGCAGCACCCACCTCGGCCATGGCCTGGTCGGCCGATTCCATCTTCTCGTAGGTGACGAAGGCGCAGCTGCAGTGGGGTGAGGTCGGCACAGCTCCACCCCAGCAGCCGCTCCCCATTCGGCACCACCACAAATCAGCGACCCCAGCCCCGCCGCCCCCCCCACCCTCCTCCACTCCTCAGCCCTCCCTTAGGCCTGTGACCACGCCCACACACCCTTAGCCCCGCCCCGGCCCCGCCTGCCCCACAACCCCACCAGCCCCATCACTGGCTCCACGGCCCCGCCCGCCCGGCCCCGCCCCCTGCCCGTGGCCCCGCCCACTTGCGCGGGCTGTCCAGCGAGAGGTCGATGATGGCTCCGAAGGGCGCGAAGGCGCTGCGCAGCAGCTCGGGGCTCAGCTCGGCTCCGTGCACGTACAGCGTGTTGCCCTTCCGCGGGGAGGGGCGCTCAGGGAACGAGTCGGAACCTGGGGGGCGCGGTGGGGACACTGAGGGACATCCCCCCACGGACACCCCGGGAGAACCCCCAATCCCAATGGGACGCCAACAACAGAACGCTCAGACGGGATCCCGCCCCACGGGGCCCATCCTCAGTGGGACCCCCAGCAGGATCCCCATAATGCGACGCCCCCAAAAACTCCCTCCTCCACCCCCCCCCCACCAGGACATCCCCCAGCGCCGGGGGCGTTTCCATGGAGAGCACCCCCAGATGAACCCCCTGAGCCACCACGGGACCCCCTTGAAACCAACAAGAACCCCCAAACTCCCCCCAGATTTGAGGACCCCCCCCTACGCCTGAAAGCCGCCTCGCGCTCGCGGCCGCCCCGCTCCTCCGGCTCCGGCTCCTGCTCCCAGTCCAAGCGGCGCTCACGCTCTCCCCGCTCAGGGGGGTCCCCACGTCCCCCCCCGGCTTCGGGCTCTCGCAGGCGCTCGCTGGCACTGACAAAGCTGGGGGAGAGGGGAGCAAAATAAACACAGAGACAGGGCTCAAATATGGGGGAGCGGAGATGGGGGGAGGGGCTGTGCGTCAGGGTAGAGACCAAAAGAAAGGGATGGGAGTCCCAAATGAAGGGGTGGGGGCGATAAAGGGGAGGGTGGCACTCACCTCTCATAGAGTGATTTTCTCTGGGGTCGCCGTGACTGCAGGGGTAGGGGAGGTTACGATGGGATCCCCGCCCTGGGTATCCTGCCCCCCTTCAGTAACTGTCCCTCCCTGCCCCCCCAGTACCTCAGGGGTGTCATCGTCAGCCGAAACGCTGCGCTGGAAGGGCTGGAAGGTGGGGGCTGGGCCCTTCTCGGGGTCCTGGGAGGGGTATAAAGAATAAAGAGGAAGGGGGAGAGGGAGAGGGGTAACGGGGGGCATTTTGAGTGAATCTGGGGAAAATGGGGGCTTGGGTAGGATGAGGGGGAGTTCAGGGGGTGTTAGGGAATTAAGGGTGGGATTTGGGTGGAAACGAGGGGGATTTAGGGGCAAAATGAGGAAGATTTGAGTGGTTTCGTTGGACTTATGGGGCAGTGAAGGGCTTTGTGGGATTTGGGGTGTTTCTTCAGATGCTCAGCATTTCTGGGTGGGATTTGGGCCAAAATGGGAAGGATTTGGGAGGGTGATTTGAGGCAAAATGCAGGAAATATGAGGAGGTTTGGTGTGTTTTGGGGGATCTGGAGCGTTTTTGAGTGTTTTGTGGCATTTTGGGGCCTTTCTGTAGTACTTGCGGTGTTCTGGGGGCTGTTTTTGTGGAATTTGTAGCGAGATCTGGGTTTTTTTTGTGGAATTTGTGGTGTTTTGGAGAAGTTTTTGTGGAACTTTGATGTTTCAGGGTCGTTTCCATAGGGTTTGAGGGGAGCTCTGTGGTTCTGTGTAGGGCTCTGGGGGTGCTGCGGCCCTGGGATTTTTTTTTGGAGGGGTTCATCTTCACACTCCTCACCTTCAGCTTCCCCTCCAGCGTCCGGGAGCGTTTGAAGCCCGAGTTCTTGGTCTCGGCCTTGATGGCACTGATGGCACCGGATTTCACCAGCAGCTTGGCCTGCTCGGTGGCCGTGGCGGTGTCCACCGGGGGCTGGTCTGACATGGCTGCGGTGGGGGGGCTCAACCTCACCCCTCCCAAAGTCAAAACAAACCCCGCCCCCCAACGCCCTTCCCCAAATCCCAGCCCCACATTAACCACGCTTCCCTCCACCGCGAGCCCCCCGCATCCCTTAGGCCTTGAGAGGTCCCAAGCCTCCTCCCTTAGGGCCCCCCCACCCCGACTCACAGCGCTTGATGCCCCCCTGGCTGCTGGGCCCAGTGTTGCTCTGCTGCTTCTTCAGCGCCAGCAGCGCCTTTTTCTGCGGGGAGACGGCGTTCAGGGGATGGGACGGGAATGGGGAGGCAATGAGGGGCCGCTGGGGGTCCGCGTGGGTCCAGGCCGACACCTTTTTGCGCAGTTTGGCGAAACGCTTCTGTAGGGCCTCCTCCTCCTCCGTCAGCCCCGGCGGCAGCGTCAACATGGCTGGGAACGGCGGATCCCGGCGGGGGCTCCGAGAAGCTGCGGGGGGCCCCGGAGCTCCGGCTCACTCCGGTCTCCCTGACAACGGCCGCAATGCCGCACTTCTTCCGCTCGGCTGCAGGACTTCCGCTCGGCATCCGGAACTTCCGGTTAGCAGCCGGAACTTCCGCTTTTCGCTGAGGGCAGGGGGGAGCGTTTCCGGGTCAGCGCCCGGCGGAGCAGTGGGGATGGAGCTGGAGCGGATCGGTGGGGTGGGGGCGTCTGTGGGAGGGTCGTGGGGTCTGTATTGGGGGAGAGGCGGGTCTGTGGGTCCGGCGGGGGTCGTGGGGCCTATGGAGGGGCTTCTGTGGGGTTCGGGAGGGGGGCGGTGTTCTATGGAGCTCTGATCGTCTTCTGTATATTTTCGCTCCTCTCCGCCCCCCCCAGTGCTGCCCCCCCCCGGGCCCCTGCACCTCCCCCTGGCACTGTTGGAATTGGGCTGCGCCGGGCGCTGCGAATTGCTGCCGGGTCCCGCCCCCCCCCGCAGCACGGTGAGTCCCTCCTGGACACCGTCTGACGCCTACGTCGCCTCTGCCTTCCCCTCCCTCCTCTCCCAGCCCTCCCCCAACGTTTCCCCCTCCTGACGGCCCCCCAGGCCCCCTCTGAGCCCCTAAAGAGCGTTGTGAAGCCCGCTCCCCGGGGACCCCCAGAGCCCCTGACCCCCTCAGATCTGCTCTTACTTCACCCAAGAGACCCCCCCTCCCCAGATCCCACTAACCCAGGGACCCCCTTGATCCCTTCTCCAGACCCCTTCTAATGTTCCCCCACCAAGGATTCTCTCTGACTTCCCCAGGGGACCCCCAGAGGGACACCCTGAGCCCCAGACCCCCTCTTGCTCCTCCCAAAGGACTCTCCCAAGCAACTCTTCCAGTCCCCTCAAATCCCCCCAAAGGACCCCTTCAGATGCCCCACCCACAAGAAAACTCTCCACCAAGGGACCCCCCTGGATACCCTCTGATCCCCCCTAAAGTGCCCCCTTTATGGAATGCTCTCAGTGACTCCTCGTGTTCCCCACCTCTCCCCAGCTCCCCCAGGGCCTCCCGCCCTTCACTCCTCCCCTGACAGCAGAGTTGGAGCAGCGCTTCCTGCAGACCCCCTCCTGGCTGCCCCCCCACCAACATGAACGGGCTCAGAGGTATGGGGGGGGGGGGGGTGTGTGTGATAAAGGGGGTTGTTGGAGTGCAGTGCAGATATTTGGGGGCTCTGGGCCCCTCCAGGGGGGGCTGTGAGGATGGGGGGGAGGCACTTATAGTGGGGGAACATTGGGGCAAAATCCCTGCAGGGCTCCAGACTCGTCAGGGGTTTCTGCTCCCTCGGAGGGGCTCTGAGGGGGGAGGCAGACTGAGGGGGGGCTCTGCAACTCTTTTTACCTCCCACCCCCCAGGCGCTGGACGCGGGTGCCCACCCCCCGCTCACTGTTTGTGTTGGAGCCGACGCCGGTGCACAGCAGCGTGCGGGCACTGCGGGACCCCGGCACAGGGGCTCTGCAGGGCTTTGTTGAGGTGGGGGAACGCTAATTAACTAATTGGGGGTTGGGGCTGGCATAGTATAAGAGCCCCTCTTATACATCGCCTTATAACCGCAATGTAGGAGCTGCATGAGGACGCGGGGCTCCCCTCTCCCCCAGACACCGGCGACGTCCCCCAGTGGGAAGGTGGGCACCTCAACCCCCACCCTTTTAATACCTGCTGCCCCCCTTTTTCTGTGACCCCTAAAGCTGACCCTTACTGCCCTTTTTGTAGGTGGTTTGGAGGACCCCCCCCTGGAGTTGCTCCACACCCAGTGGCCAAATGAAGAGGATTTGGACCTTGAAAATGGTACAGAACTGCCGGGGGGGCTGTTTTGGAGGTGCCCCTTCCTTAACTTTATCATTTCATTCTGTCTTCCCTCCCAACTTCAGATTTACTGACCACCCCCCCCGGGCTGAAACGCGGCGTTGAGTTTCAGGCCAGAGGTAGGGAACAGCGAGGAGAACCTCCTCAACCCCCACATCTGTGCCCCCCCCGCAGCACAGCGGGCCCCTCCTGCCTCACTGTTCCCTCCTCCTTTAAACATAAGCAGCCCCCGGAGCCCGGGGGGGGGGCACCATCGCTCTGTAGCGTTTTGGGGGC